AATCGCTTTTCCCAAAAAGTTCTTCGCCGTTCGGTACAATTTTTTCCAAAACAGTTCATCGTATTTTTGTATATTAAACTAAAACCTTTTTGGTACAGAATGAAATTGTTTTTATTGCGTTAATTGAGCAGCAAATAGAACAATTTTATATCATCAGAAAATCGCTTTTCCCGAAAAGATCATCCCCCTTCTATACATTTTTCTACAAAACAGCTCATCATATTTTCTTTTACAGCAGATTGAAACCGGTCCCATTAGATTTCTAGTTTTGGAAGTGGTTCAAAATATTTTTTTGAAAAGTTCGTTTGAAGTGTTCCGATTTATCTTGCCTTGAACTTACAACTCGCCATCCCTTTTTTGAAGACTCTTTTCTTTTATATATGTTCTAAGTCCAAAATATTCCAAATTGAAACATCATCTAATAACTTGCTACTGGTAGAGGTGTAAACTGAGCAGAAACTAAAAGAATTCCAACCCGATCAGAAACTAGAACTAGCTTTACCAACTCTTGTTGGCAGTAGCAACTAGCAAATTTGCTTTCTTCTTCAAGATCATACCTTCATCTAAAGTGTTCGTAAATTCTATGCTGAAATAATGACCGAGGGAAATACCAAAATAGGTTGAAATATTTTATTTTTTGCAAGATGTAAAGTTGATATTTGTTTTTTTCACCTCGAAAACTCTCTAAAAACATTTTCGAGAGAATCAAAATATAATTTTCGCTGTCCAAATGTCTGAGATATTTTGTACAAAATCATAAAAATTGTGATAACTTTGACACGAGGGGGCGTAGGTGGCCGCGACGGTTTAGGCGTTGACACAGCGCTCATCACTGCAAGGTAAAGGTCCCGGGTTCGAATCCAGCGGCCCTGCATTCCAACCCGACATACTTAAACATGGGCTTTTTTTCAAAAAGCACCATTTTTTCAAGATATGTCGGTACCCCGAGGGTTGATATAACCTCGGCCGTTGCGAACCCTCGTTAAAAAAAACTCGATCAGAAACTTAACTTTAACTTTATATATTACATCGATATATATAATTATATATAAACGATCAGAATAAGTTGAATTTGAAAAGAAATAGAAAAAGAATCAATTCCTTCAAGTTTTCCAGAAAATCGTTCTTCTTTCTTCTTTATCAAGACTTTGAAACTATTTCTAATGATTTAAACGGTTAGAAATTTAACCGTTTTAAGCTTAACGTTCATTAAACTTGTTCAGTAAGAGACAAGTGCTTGAAAAGTAGAAGTTTTGAAACATGAAATACCGTAAGGAAAACTACTTCACAAATATTATAACATCGACTCTTTTATGTGGTTTTACGATTTTTAAACACGAAAATCAGCACTACAAAACCACAATTTTTTTCAGCCAAGATTTATGTTGAAGTGTAACCAAAAAAAACATGTTTTTAGCAAAGCAAGATAATTTAGATATACAATTCGTAGATTGTTCTTATTGGCAAGAGAGGTTAAAAAAGGCAGTTGTCTCGTGTCTTTTTTTCGTTAACCATTTAATGTACAAAAGCATGTGTTATCGTAGTTTTCATAAGTTTTTTCGATGGAACTTATAGATTTTTTCCGCCAAATTACCCTTTTATAACATCAAATTAAACCATCCTTTAAAAAAATTAGACAAGAAAAATGGTTAATTTGAAGGTAAGAAAGGTTAATTTGGTTATTTAGAAGGTTAATTTTCAATTATAGACAATATTTTCTTCTTTATTTTTTCATTAGTATACAGGAATTTTACGAAAAGTTAATTTGAAATCAAAGACAGACAGAGTTAATTTGAAATTAAAAAATGTTAACTTGATTTTAAAAAACAAAGAACAATATTATATTTTTTAAAAACTCAACTTAATAGAAGAATCCTTTATTTTTTCTCCAAATATGCAGGACTTTTCATCAGGAATTTTCCGAAAGGGTTAATTTTTTGAAGCTAAAAAGGGTTCATTTAAAATTAATTATTTTTAAAAATCTATAAACTCAAATTAATATAGGAATTATTTGTTTTTACATCACTTTATCTCAAATTAAAGAAAAAAACCTTTTATTTTGGTATTTAATTTATATCCTTTTAAATGTATAATTTCTATTAATTTTAATATGGTTCTCTAAAAGCCCAATTCTTTTAAATTTGAAAAAAATTTGCAAATTACAGTACTTTTACTTTACAAGCTTAAATGCTATAACCATCTCCTAATTTTTGTTTGTCAATGCTTTAAGAAAGGGGTTAATTTGAAATGAAAAAAGGTTAAAATTGAAGTTAAAAGTGGTTAGTTTGACGGGGAAAACCTATATTTATTTCCTGTGTGTATTTTTAACATGAGAAAAATTTAAAGTAACAGTTGTAAGGTAGTATTGTAAGTATTGTATTGTAAGTAAGGTAGTCTACGTAGTCCGGGACTTTTAATTATCTAAGTATATTTTAAGGGAGTAAAATTAATTTGTCTTAGGTTGTAAGATTTATATAACAAATTTCTCATTACACAATTTATAATCTTTTAATTTTTAGGGTGGATCTGTATAATTTTGGACGAATTCGTCTTTCGTAATAATATTATTTAGACTCATCTTTACTTAAAAATTTAAATTTTTTAGGTGGATCTGTATTATTTTGGACGAATACTTCTTTCCTAATAAAATTCTTTAGACTCTTCTTTACTTAACAATTTAAATTTAAATCTGGAAAAATGCTGTTTTATCGTTCGTATTAAATACCAAATTGATTATTGTAATTATAACATTTATGGCATTGTCTAAATTTTCTTCTCATTTTTTTATCGTTACTCTAAAGATTTCAGTATTTTCTCTTTTAAATTAAATATAATAATAAAATAATAATATTCTTTGGACTCTTCTTTCCTTAAATATTTACATTTTTTACGTGGATCTGAATAATTTTGGACGAATACTTCTTTCCTAATAATATTCTTTGGCCTCTTCTTTATTTAACAACTGAAATTTTTTAGGTGGTTCTGTATAATTGTGGACGAATACTTATTTCCTAATAATATTCTTTGAAATCTTCTCTACTTAACAATTCAAAATTTTTAGGTTGATCCGTATAATTTGGGACGAATACTTCTTTCCTAATAATATTCTTTGGACTCTTCTTTACTTAACAATTTATATTTTTTAGGTGGATCTGAATTATTTTGGACGAACACTTATTTCCTAATAATATTCGTTAGATTCTTCTTTACTTAAAAATTTAAATTTTTTAGGTGGATCTGTATAATTTTGGACGAATACTTATTTTCTAATAATATTCTTTAGATTTATCTTTACTTAAAAATTTGAATTTTTTAGGAGGATCTGTATTATTTTGGACGAATACGTCTTTCCTAATAATATTCTTTGGACTCTTCTTTCCTTAACAATTGAAATTTAAATCTGAAAAAATGCTGTTTTATCGTTCGTACTAAATACCAAATTGTTTATTGTAATTATAACATTTTTGGCATTGTCTATTGTCCCTCTATTTTGGTACCCATACAATATCATATAAATATCTAAGATTTAAAAAGGTTCAAAATAAATTGTTCTAAGTAAATATTAATTACGCCTAGTTGAAAACTGACCTCAATTTAAATTCAATTAAAACACGCAGATTACTTTATTACGTATTAATTTTATTAGAAGTTATTGATAATTTTTGTGCTCCTTCTGTGAAAACTAGAACATACAGGACTTTTTTTTATTGAATCTTACAACCAAAAATATGGACAAAATACTCGTCTTGTTAGACTAATGAACAAGGCCAATAAATCATCTCAAATTAATTTGTAATTTTTCATTTAATAATTTAGCTAAACAACCTTCATTCTATTAATTAATTACTTATGTTCAAGTAATCAATCCTTTTGATTTTTTTTTGTATAGCGGGAATAAATTAATAGTTTAATTTTTTTACTTACTTAATTAACATATTTTAGTTTGTAATTATTTTTTTAAGGTATTAATCTTAAATATTTTATAACAATTTAACTTCTTGTTTTTACAGTTTATATACAATAAATTTGCTGTTTTTATTTATTTTTTTATATATTTATTTTTAATATTTAATTTTATTTACTTTATATGCAGCTTTATTTTTGGAGACTCTTTTTTTTAGATTTAATGTAGCTGAAGCAATATGCAGCAAAATTGAACATAAGAACTTTTAAGTTCTTTTTTTATGTCCCGTTGAAGACTTTAATGTGCAAGATATCGCAAAAAATCCATAAGTTTGAAATCTTATTTAACATATTTTGTTTACTTGTTAAGCACCTATCGATCGCACCCAACGCATAATGCAGTATGTGTTATGTAATTTATGAAAATTTCGTTTGATTTTGAATCAAAGAAATCACTTCGTTCATATTCCGATGGTAAGAGATTAAGGGACAGCTCCACCGATGGTATTCTTCTCACGGATATTTACGCACTGAGATGAAGCATTAGCAAGTTTAAGGTTCTTAGTTGTAGAGATTAAAATTAAATTTCTTTTTGGGGTACTTTCAGAATCAATCAAAACCGACTGAGTTTTAAAGTAAAAAGAAAGTTTTTGAGATAATGAAGGTTGAAGTGGTCATTTTTATATGAAGTCATGTCAGAGGATGTGGAGTAAAGAAGGGACATTGGACCAAGGAGGTCTTCATCACCCTGCTGAAGAGTTGCCACTTCCAGATGCACTCGTCGATTAAAACAAAGCTAAAAGAAAGGAGATAAAGATTAATTTTGAGTTAATCGAGGGTCGGTCTAGCATGAAATCATTACCCGATCCCTCGACGACCATGCCTCTTAGTTCTTTAATCATGGTAAACAATTTTAAAGGGGGGGGGGGAGAAAATCGAAGGAATTCTTAAGGACGGAGTGCTGAAGAACTCTGCCCGAGAGTCGGCGGTTCTGGAGGCCCTGTCAGTTGTTTACCGCGTCTGACATTTCGGCCTGTCAACAGCGGCCCATGTTTCGAGCCTGTCAGTGTAAAGTTCAATTTTCAATTTGTACTTACAGTCGTTCGGCGTGCTGCGGCAGATTCCTCGGGACCTGGGTCAAGGCGCGTCTCGAGCAGTCGACAGCTAGGCCGACGCACGTGCACGACCAGGGGCAGTTGTTGAGAGCGATGCCGCCCCCGAGAGGTCCCTTGGCCGGGATCGGATGGCCCCCGATCCTGCTTCCGATGACGTCCTTGTTCCCCGAGACTCCGGAAAGTACGACGACGCACAAAAACACAGAGATTTTCATCTCGGAGGACGATTTGAACCACATTCCCTCACCGAATGACCTCCGGGAGTTATTTGAAAATCATACTTCCAAAGTCACGACTTGATTTTTTTTTAATATATTTATCTTTAATTTTTTTTCTCAAGTGTTACTCGAGAGTGGCTGCGTGCCTGAGCTGCGAAGTTAGACCGACGAGCGTACTCGAGAGACTGGCCGTTTCTCTGAAAGGCGCCCTCCAATAGTTACACGATAGGACGACAGGCACCGCTAAGCGGCGAACTCTATCCTACCGACAGCTTCACCCCTCTCTCATTCTTCATTCTTCGTTCTTCACAGCCCTTCGTCAAATGACACCGCGCAACGTGACCCCAGCCAAACAGAGGGATAATCGCAAAATGACAGAATTACTCGTTAATTCCACCTTTTATCACTATCCAGACTTACGCATATGAAGAGCGCGTCTTCTTTATTTAAAAGGTGCGGACAGAAAACTCTTCTCCGTTTATAGTTAAAACTTGACATTTTGAAAATAGCTGAACGCGGGATAAATCACTAAGCCCTTGCCAAAATGTTCAAACACCCAACATCTAACCCCTAACCGACTTGTGTTTACTGACTTCTCTAAAACGGAGAAACTCGTGGTATTTATGATCCTCAAAATGAATGTGAATTCTTGATAAAATTACCAACGGAGTCTAACATTAATTCCGCATAATTATCAATTGCCATATCAAATGCGTCGATTTACGACGATGCGTAAGAGCTGTCTCACAAAATTTAACAAAATTAATTGCAATAATTTTCGAAATTCTATCAAAAATACAACTCCTTAAGCTCAATACAAAAAAAATGAAAATGACATAATGAAAAAGTAGATGGTTTGGCCAAATTAGCTTCAATTAGAAGGAAGGGATCAACGTTTCTACTAATTTATACGGAATTAATATCCAATTCTTAATCAAATTCAGAAATGTCAGTAGAAATAAAAACTTTTACATTTATTAGTTCTAACAACTGAAAAAAAATCGAGCCAAAAGTTTAAATTAATCTGTTCAAAAATCGACAAGTTAGCAAAGACCATATCTGCATATCTCTCTCCCTCTCCCTCTATCTCTCCCTCTCCCTCTCCCTCTCCCTCTCTCNCTCACTCTCTCTCTCTCTCTCTCACTTTCGCTATCTCTTTTCACACCCACATACTCTCTCTCTCTCTCTCTCACTCTCTCTCTCTCTCTCTCCTCTCTTATTCTGCCTCACTTTCTTCTCTAACTCTTTCTATCACTTTCTGGCTCTGATTCTGCCTTGTTCAAACCTTTACAAATTTTTCAATCTTTCTCTCTACCTTCTCGCTCTCATCGCTTTCACTTTCTTTCTCTCTCTCTTCACTCCCCTCTCAGTCTCTCACTCTTTTCCATCTTCTTTCTCTTTTTATCTGTCACTCGCTCACTCTCTTTCCCTCTCATCCCTCAATCTTTTTCACTCTCTTACTATCTTTTTTCCCCTGGCTCTCTCTCTCACTCTCTCTCTCTCTTTTTCTCTCTTGCTCTTTCTTTCTTTCTCTCACTATTGGGAGTGATTCGTCTCAAGCACCCTTGAGCTCTCAAGGATTTTATCCAAAATAAAGTTATTACGACCGTTAGAAAGCCTAATCTGTCTTCTTTAAAAGCATGTCAACAAGGTTTCGATGTTCAAAAAATGTTTTTTTAGGGGTTTTGTGGGGTACGAAAGATGAATACCAAATATGTTTGTTGCTGATAATTTTTTTTTACCTGCTTTCCTATGCCCCTCTGCCATTACATAATTGCATTTGGCCCTAGAAATAAAAGACGCTACCAATAGAGTAAAGTTGAATAAAATATATTTAACAAATATATTAAAAAATTAGATTCGTGTTGAGCGCTCTTTAGCACCCTTGAATACAAATTTTCGTATCAATAAAAAAATGGAAATGTTCTCGTCGATATCTGGTGTTCCACTTAAAACTTCATAACTTCTCTGGATTTTATCCAAATTCAAGGTGATTATAAACGTTAGAAAGAAGGATCTTATTACTTTCAGCTTATGTTAACAAGGTTGAGATTTTATGTCATTATAAGTGAGAAAAATAAGGATAAAATCAACAAAAACTTCTTCAATAAATTATTTTTTGTCTCCGGTCCTTGTTTATTGACAGGCCTCTGATTGATGATATTACGTGTAGTTTATAAAATTCTAAAACTCTATCCAGTTTCCAGTGGACTCATTTCAAAGCTATCACAATTTTTGTGATTTGTTAAAAAAAAATCGGATCATTTGGAAGACGAAAATTTTTAGGGGAAAAAATATTGTTTCATTTTCTCGAAAATTGTTTTTAGGGTTTTTTGGAGTGCGAAAAAAGAATATCGCTTTTATTTATTCCTAAAAACATATGTTAACCGTATTTTTATGCCTACAAGGCAAAAATGACTTTTTTTTATTGCATGAAAATTCATGTTTAAAGGTTTTAAAAGGTTCTTAAAATCCATTAAATTATTTTAAAAAAGTTTCTTGGCTTACTTTACTGGTAGCATCTTTTATACCTTATAGGTGCCAAATTCATTGTTGAAGTAATGACCGAGGGACTTAGCAAATTAGGTTGAAATGTTTTCTAGCGAGAAATAAAGTTAATATTCGTTTATCTCACCTCGAAAAACCTCTACAAACATTTTCGAGAGAATCAAAATATAATTTTCGCCGTCCAAATGTCTGAGATATTTTGTTGAAAATCACAAAAATGTTGATAACTTTGAAACTACTTGGATTTAAAGAATTCCTCAACCTGTACCTGTTTTTTAAGAGAGTTTGTTTATTTACAGCAATCTTCCCGTTTAGAAGTAACTTTAAAATAAATAAACTGTCTTTTAATAAAGCCTTCGAAGAGAGGTAAAATCTAAACTTCATTGGTTGAACTGCGATGGCATCCAAAGAAATCTGGTCAGTATGTGTATTTCGATTGTTCTTCGATATGGTTGACATGCTATTCTTTTTCAAAATTGGCTGGCTTTTCCAGCTAACTGCTTGGTTTGTGTTTTACCTGTTAGGACAGAAACAGGCAAAATCATGGAAAAACAAAATATGAGGGGGTGTTCCTCAGGGCTCCGTTCTTGGCTTCATTTGGCACGTTTAAAAGTCCTTTCTATTCTAAAAAAATAATATCCGAAAGTAAAAAATGTATCAATTTGTACTGGAGATGTTGAAGTTTTCCTTCAGAATTCAATTATTTCAATTTATCGTTGTTTAAAGTTAAGTTTACACACATATCGAGACCTCAAAGAAAACTTCAATATCTCCAGTACGAACCGATGAATTTTTGAGGATAAATGTTTTCACTTTTTTCAAAAGTACTTTCAATTCTAAAAAATGATAACAGAAAGTCAAAAATTCATCGATTCGTTCTCACATTTCAAAAGTCTTCACGTTTAGAAGTTACTTTAAAAGAAAAAAATAAGTCATTTATTAAAGTCTTTCGAAGCGAAGTAAAATCTAATCTTCAATGGTTCAGTTGATGACGTACTAAAGGCTGTTGACGGTGGCACGGTCATTGGTCACTGTGTGCTTTTCAATTTTACTTCGGTACGATTGGCCAGCCTATTGAAAAAATAGAGATAAGCCTATGGAGACTTCCTTGGGAGACTCCCGATTTTACTGAAATATAAGACGATGCCAGTGAGGTACGATTGCAGGTTATTGTAAAAGGTACTGGGAATGATCTTGAGTTTCCATTCTAAACCCATGTGCCATACCGGTCGAAAGCCTGGGTAAAATCTAAACTTCATTGGTTGAACTGAGTGATGGCGTCAGAAGAAGTGTGGTCAGTATGTGCATTTTGATTGTTCTACGATATGGTTGAAATGCTATTCTTTTTCAATATTGGTTGGCTTTTCTAGGTAATCGCTTGGTTTCTGTTTTACCTGTTAGGACAGGAACAGGCAATCATGGGAAAACAAAATGTGAGGGGTGTTCCTCAGGGCTCCATTCTTGGCTTCATTTGGCCCATCTGAAAGTCCTTTCTAGTCTAAAAATATTAGAATATCCGAAGTAAAAATTGTACCAATTTGTACTGGAGATATTGAAGTTTTCCTCCGGAATTCAATTATTTCAAATTATCGTTTTTTAAAGTTAGATTTACAAAAATGTACATACATTGAATTTCCATATTTTATTCAATTAATCAGTTGCGGGATAAATTGAAAATATCGAGACCTCAAAGAAAACTTCAATATCTCCAGTACGAACCGATGAATTTTTGAAGTTGAATGTTTTCACTTATTTCAAAAGTACTTTTCAATCTAAAAAATGATATCACAAAGTCAAAAGTTCATCCATTCGTTCTGGAGATATTGAAGTTTTCCTTAAGGACTCGATATTTTCAATTTATCGTGTAACCGATTGTGTTTGTTTAAAGTTAGATTTGAACATTCTAAAATTTAAAAATTAAGTTGCCCCGTTAACCCAACCTGTTGATCAACTTTTGAATTCAAAGGTAATTCTCTATTTATTCATTCATGTTCGAAGTCCTTTCCATTATAAAATATATATATACATATATATACCAAAAAGTAAAAATCAATTATCGATTTGTTCTAGAGATGACGATGTTTTCCTTCAGAACTCGATACTTTCAATTTATCTTGAAACTGTTTTTGTTTAAAGTTAGTTTTAATAATTTAAAAATTCCGTGGGCCCGTTAAGCCGACCCCCTGATCAACGTTTTTATCCAAAAGTAATGCTCTATTTTTCCACTCATGTTAAAAATCCTTTCCATTCTAAAAAAAGGTACCAAAAAGTACAAAATAAAATGATCGATTTGTTCTAAAGATATTGATGTTTTCCTTCGGAATTCGATAATTGAAATTTCTTTTTGTTTTAATTTAGGTTTAAAAATAAACATCTTAATATTTTATTCATTTAATTTTAAAGTAACGAGACAAAAAATGAAATTATCGAGTTCTGAAGGAAAACTTCGATATATTCAGAACGAATCAGAGAATATTTGAGGATAAATTTTGTCAGACATTTTAAAAGTCCTGTTCAACCATAAAATATTATACCAGAGTCATCAATTTGTTCTGGAGACCATGATACCAAAAAGTTAAAAATTCATCGATTCGTTCTGGAGATATTGAAGTTTTCCTTCAGGACTCAATAATTTTAATTTATCGTGTTAACTGATGGTTGTTGTTTAAAGTTAAATAGGTTTGAAAAAATCAACACAAATTAAATTTTCATATGTGTGGTGATTAGATACAAGACAGAAGACAAACACTTTGAGCCCTGAAGATGATCTCATTAAAGATCGAAACGTTGTCACGATAAAGAAAATGTTTTTCTGAAACCTACATCACACCAGACCGCATCTCACGATTTCTGAATAATTAAATTTTCATATTTTATTCAAATTTCCAATTTTCTTCATTTTTAACCAGTTACATGTTGAATATAAAATTTTGTGTTCTTAAGGAAAACTTCAACGCCTCCAGACCGAATCGATGCGTTTTGTAGTTTCTTGTTTTTTTTTTTTTTTTTTTTTTTTTTTTGGAGGAGATACGAGATGTCTTGAGGGACCTTCAAAAAAGCGATAGCGTAATTTCAACGAGGATATGGAAATGTTATCTTTTGCCAGCAAAATCGCAAAATCCGAAATACTAGAAGGTTTCNTGTTCTTAAGGAAAACTTCAACGCCTCCAGACCGAATGAAATAATGGCGAAGAATCTTGTTTTTTTTTTTTTTTTTTTTTTTTTTTTGGAGGAGATGCGGGATCATTTGAGGGACCTTCAAAAAAGCGATAGCGTAATTTCAACGAGGATATGGAAATGTTATCTTTTGCCAGCAAAATCGCAAAATCCGAAATACTAGAAGGTTTCGGGTATTTAAAAAAAAACAAAATGAGAGGTGTACTCTGAACTTACAATTTTCAACCGTGTCGTTCTCATTTTGTCCAGGTGTCTTCATTGCAGAAATGTCAATTTGAGACAATTCCTAGACGGAGCCCAGGCTTTCGACCCGGTATGGCACATGGGTTTACAATGGAAACTCAAGATCAAGATCAGACCAGTACCTTTTACTATATCCTGCAATCCTACCTCACTGGCATCGTCTTATATTCCAGTAAAATCGGGAGTCTCTCAAGGAAGTCTCCTTAGCCTTATCTCTTTTTTTCAATAGGCTGGCCAACCGTACCGAAGTAAAATAGAAAAGCACACAGTGACCAATGACCGTGCCACTGTCAACAGCCTTTCGTACGTCGTCAACTTAACCAATGAAGATTAGATTTTACTTCTCTTCGCAAGGCTTTAATAAAAAAGTTATTTTTTCTTTTAAAGTAACTTCTAAACGTGAAGACTTTTGGAATGTGTGAACGAATCGATGAATTTTCAACTTTCTGGTATCATTTTTTAGAATTGAAAGTACTTTTGAAATAAGTGAAAACATTTATCCTCAAAAATTCATCGGTTCGTACTGGAGATATTGAAGTTTTCTTTGAGGTCTCGATATTTATGTAAACTTAACTTTAAACAACGATAAATTGAAATAATTGAATTCTGAAAGAAAACTTCAACATCTCCAGTACAAATTGATACATTTTTTACTTTCGGATATTATTTTTTTAGACTGGAAAGGACTTTTAAACGTGCCAAATGAAGCCAAGAACGGAGCCCTGAGGAACACCCCCTCATATTTTGTTTTTCCATGATTTTGCCTGTTTCTGTCCTAACAGGTAAAACACAAACCAAGCAGTTAGCTGGAAAAGCCAGCCAATTTTGAAAAAGTATAGCATGTCAACCATATCGAAGAACAATCGAAATGCACATACTGACCACATTTCTTTGGATGCCATCGCAGTTCAACCAATGAAGTTTAGATTTTACTTCTCTTCGAAGGCTTTATTAAAACACAATTTATTTAGTTATTTTAAAGTTACTTCTAAACGGAAAGAAACTGATAAATGAACGAACTCTTTTAAAAAAACAGGCACAGGTTGGGGAATTTTAATTTTTTTTCCATTTGTAAGTATGTCGGGTTCGAATGCAGGGCCGCTGGATTCGAACCCGGGACCTTTACCTTACAGTGATGAGCGCTGTCTCAACGCCTAAACCGTTACGGCCACCGACGCTCCATCGTTTCAAAGTTATCACCATTTTTATGATTTTCTACAAAATATCTCAGACATTTGGACAGCGAAAATTATATTTTGATTCTCTCGAAAATGTTTTTTGAGGTTTTTCGAGGTGAGAAAAACGAATATCAACTTTACATCATGCTAAATAAATATTTCAACCTATTTTGATATTTCCCTCGGTCATTATTTCAACATAGAATTTGCGAACACTTTGGATGATGAGGTATGATCTTGAAGAAGAAAGCAAATTTAGTTGCTATTGCCAACAAGTTTGTAAAGGAGTTGGCAGTAGGAAACTAAATTTACTTTCTTCTTCAAGGCCATATAGACTTGATCCAGAAAAGTGTGCGTAAGTGAAAAACTGGTCGATACTTCTAATACTTGGCACCTGGGTATAAAAGACGCTACCTGAAAAGTAAGCAAAGAGACATTTTTGTTTGAAAAAAAAAATCTAATTCATTTTAAGCACGAGCCGGAGATAAGAGATTCATGTATTTAATGAGTTTTTGTTGATTTCGTCCTTATTTTTCCCACTTATAATGACAAAACCAAAACCTAGTTGAAATAAGCTGAAAGTATTAAGATTGTCCTTTTCAAATAACATTGAATTTGGTTTACATCCGGAGAAATTATGAATTTTTAAGTAGAACACCAGACATCGAGTAAAAAAACAAAAATTGTCCCGGTGAATCCAGTCAAAAATTTTCATTTTTTAGTGACACGAAAATTCGTATTTAAGGGTTTTTAAAGGTGCTCAAAACAAATCGAAATTGTTTTTATTTATTTATTTTTTTATATCTTACCCTATTGGTAAATGCTTTCATATCAAGTTGCTAAATACAATTTTTATGTAATAACCCCCCCCCCCAAAAAAAAAAATCTAAAATAAATTTTTGTGGTAATAAAAAAACCATTACCTAAAAAGGGTACTTAAAAAATAATTTTTTAAAACCTACTTTACTGAATGCGGGTTTTCATTTTTTCTAATTTTTCTCCAGCTGATGTCGTTTAATAGAAATGATCAACTGTATTGAACTATCTGTTTATAAAGATCTCATTAATACTAATAATAATTAAATAATAATATTTAAAGTTTGAGATTAAGAAAATTAATTTTTTATTTTTGAAAAAACGAATATCAACTTTATTTTTAAAATATATATATATTTTTGTAAAACCTATTTTGCAATGTCCCTCCAATCTAAAATATAATTAAATTTTAAAAAAATATTTTGCCGTAGACCGACGGATGTTGCAAAATATTTATGTATACATATTGTTTATATACATAGTAATTAAGGTTTTTAGTTGAGATAAAAAATCAATGGCACGAGCGGGATTCGAACCCACGATCTTCGGCTAGATACGCCGCTGCTCTACCACTTGAGCTATCGTGACCTCGATCCACTCGGACACCAACTTCCCATCTCAACCCCACCTTTTGAATTTTCCCTCCTTATTGCCATTTTTCAATCAGCGGCGTATCAAGCCGAAGATCGTGGGTTCGAATCCCGCTCGTGCCATTGACTTTTTTATCTAAACTAAAAACCTTAATTAATTGTAATGTATTAATTGGTCAAGCGGACCACGAAATTAGTGAATATATACATAGTATTTAAATTATGCATTTTTAAGAAGTATTTTACGCAATTAGATTAGGGGAGTTGTAATCACTGTTTTTGTCCAAAAACTCACAAATGACGGAATTTGAATTGAATTTGTTACGAATGTAGTTGAAAAGTAAAAAGATTTAAATAATTGAGCTTAAAGTTTCTATCGCGTCAAGAGGTTTATTCATTATGAGAGATGAGGGCAACAAAGATGTCCATGTTTTCTAAGAGTTATTTAATCCATCTTATTTAAAAGATACGCCCCGGGCTTTCGATTGACGTCTTTTATCACAAACAAGTCTGCTAATTATATTTTAATTGCCACCACTATCGAAAATTTGTTCCAGTTAGAAATATCTTCAATTTTTTTTTTTTTTTAGAAATGACTTATTTACATCTGTGGTAAGTGGTGGAAAAGCGAGTCAGAGATATTTTCACAAAAGTTCCAAAAGAAAAACTCAGATTGCATTCTTAAATTGAGATTTTCCCTTAACAAAAAAAAAAAAATTATCAGTTCCCTGTTAGTCATCGTTTATATTTTATTCCTAGAAAGTTTATATTTTAATCCGTCCTGTATCAATTAATTGAGCGAAAGTTTAAACCATTGCTAGAATTGTTATCGGGTTGATAACTATACCACTAAATTCGGTATAAACCCTTAAGAGCTTCCATTCAGCGAGATTTGTTTGAACAGGATACACCACAAGAAGAAAAAAACTTTTAAAGGTACAGTGTTATTTTGTACAGTTTATTATTGTCAATTTTAAGACAAATTTATTTCTCAATAATTAGCCTTGATGTTTTTTATTTTATGCGTTAATGAATGAAAAAATGCAAATCTGGAAATGTTTCGATTTTTTAAATATTCTATCATTATGAACTCAACGTCTAAACAAGCTTATTTTCTAATTGATCAAATTTTTTTAAAAATTATTATACGAGTCAAACTCCCAGCGAAAATTATCCCTGAAACTTTTTCTCTCTTGGTGCTTAGTAAAAAAAAATTCAGTACAATTTTAAAACTCATATTTTTACACTTTAAATTACGACAAAAAATAATTCGTGAAGGAAATTTTCACGATTTCGTACCCTTTTGTTTTATTACAGCTGATTTGTTTTATTGTTTTTTTCGTTGAAAAACATCAAATAGCAGCTCGCAGTGGGTAATTTCGCCAGGTTTGATCCAGCCAATTTGGTACTTTGTTTTAACCCTTTTTTCTAGGAAATTTCAGTTGCTGATAGAGGATTCTTGACTGATTTCTATCACTGAACTTTGTGATTGTAAGTGTTATTTGTATATCAGGAAAGTTAAAATTTGTCGAATTCATTTTTAATTTTTTTCTTATTTTTTCTCTTTGTTCTTAATCGTCTTGCTCTAGCAATTGAGTAATAAATCTATCTAGTTGGAGGTCATTTCATAATAAGTCAGAAATCTTCATTGTAGAATAAGGTTTTTTCTTGAAATTTAAAGATTGTCCCTCATAATTTTTCTGAGGCAGCGTTTTTTTTAATTTTTATAGTCCAATTTAATTATTATCTTGCACTTTAATTTCAATTTGATCATGCTACCTATAAAAAAATCACGTAAATTTTAAGATTCTGTCCTAAGTTCAAGCTTACTTTTTGCATTGTTTAACTTATAATAAATTCTGAAGCTTTCAGGTCAGAGCTTGCGCCATTTGACAACGAAAAAATGAAGTTGTTTTTATTTATCACATGGATGATACAACATTTGATCGTAACGGCTGGGGAAAACACCACCGAGTCTGATTTTCTCGTCAACCTGAACTCTTTGAACATCAAAGAGGAATTGGGACATGTTCCAGAACCTGAAAGTGACAATGAAGAAAGCATTCATGGTATTTATACCGATTTTGCTCTATTTTCTGAAAATAGATTAAGCCAATATCTGTTTATCATTGTATTATTGTAGTTATATATTTTTAGTTTTTAAATATAATTAACAAAATTAATGATTTAGGGCCGTCAGTCGAGCTTTTTAAAAAGTTGGCAACGGAAAATCAAACAGAACTCTTGATGTAAATATTAGTAGTATTTTATTATCTGCAGGGAGATCCCCGTAATAAATCTTGAGGTTTTACATTATTGTATTTGCATGAAGAATACTGACGAGTCTAAAACGCTGAAGGTAATCATACCTCATAGCCAAGAATATATGCTGTATGCCATGACAAACCTGAGTCAGTAGGATGTTGGAGGATATTTTTTTAGTTTCTGCAGCCTTTATGGAAGCTCTCCATTCTCCATTCATTTCCTCATTTTTTTCCCCAAGAAGCAACTGCATACCCCCCCCCCCAAATTCATGGATTTTAGAAAAATTAACAAAATCATGACTGCTCAATTGAGCAAATAGTGAAAAAGTCTCGATTGAGCACTCATGATTTTTTTGATTTTTGAATATCTTCACCACATCCCTTCATGTTTTCTTTTATCATATCTTCCATCTGACGGTTTTATGCCCATTTGAGACTCTTCAGTAAAACCCAGCTTTATTATTACTTCAATTTCTTCCCAGTCTGTACTTTTTAGTAGACTTTGAACTTTTACATGTCAGTTCCATGGACCGAATGACCCCTTCTTCTGCTTCCTCGACAGCCTTTTCTTCGCCTATGATTCCTTCATAACCCTTACCCAGTCATGTATTGTAAAAAACCTATTCCTCATTCTCTATATTGAACTGTCTTGATTTTGTAGATTTTTGATGCTGTGTAATGAAATTTCACTGTTGGTTTAAATAATTTCTTAACCTCTACCCTTCATTCCTTCATCGCATCTTCCATCTGCCGGTCTGCCCACTCCAAGCCCTTTCAGCAAATCCAGTTCCTTGGCTTGATTATTTAAAATTCCTTATTTGTCCCTTTCATTTTGGTAATATTTGGAACCTTGCAAGGGTGAAGCCGGTTTGTAAAATGCATCAGTCGATCATATTCCCCAATAGATTTCTGTTCTTCGAGTCTGGCAGTTAACCTTTGGGACCTTCCTTTATGATATTAAAAATGGTTTTTTAGTGCACTTTAAGTGGGATAGGTAATATATTCATGCAGCTTCAAGTGCAAAAATATCCTTTTATCATCCGTATGAAGATACATATTGTATGAGTTGTTCTTAGACGTATTTTTTAACTAGTTTGTCTGCTGCCTAATTCCCTCACCTGGGACCCAACATAGCTTTAGGCTATTTGTACATCCCAGTTTTTTTCTGAGTATTTAGGCAATTTCAAACAAGTTTTGAGTTGATCATAGGCTTGGAGAACCTTTATCTGATTATGTAAGAGTATTTTTATAGTAAGCAAAGGGTCTCCCTATTTTCCTTGTGAATACTTATTTCTTTTTGGTTATGTGGTTAATTTTATTTCTGAGCAATTTTGTTCTTTTTAGGAATTAGAAACAGATACTTTCGAGTCCAGCGAGCATTGGGTATGACAGATAATATATAATTGTATGTGAACATAACAACTTAACAAGACAAATTCCTTATTCAGAAGCCATTCTTAAACGTCCCATTCATGGATCGAGGCCATTGGCAATCAATCCAGGTGCTCTTATTAAAGATACCACTTTTAGACAAGTCGAAAATGTCATTACAACTCCACCAAAACTATTGAATAAAACTGAACCTACTGAACCTACAAAGAAAATTCGAGGTAACTTTTTTTTTCATTATCATATTGTACAAATGTTAATTATTATCTATTTGATATATGTGGATATTAGTCAGATAATTTTAAATAGAGAAGTATTTTTTATTAACAAAAAACAAGGATGATACCAATTAGAAAGATAACACTCAGTTCCTTCCTCAAGCTTTCCTGGAATATATTCTTTTTATCACGACTATAAAACCATAATTAATTTGCAAGGTTAATATTAAATGCTTTTCAAAATTTTGAAACCTAAGGTTTAAAAGAATATCAAGTACTATGGGGCAGTGTGCATGTAATTTATTAGCATGAATGGAGAGGCTTCTTCTCCAATGGTGCATGGGATTTTTATTAGATCAATAATTTAAAACCATGTGCTGTAAAAAGAAATTAAAAACAAAGTAAACATAAGTTGACTACAAAGTGGAATTAAATTTGTTGCATTTTTACCTGAATAAAATAACAATTAATTAATTATCAAAACTATCATTTTATTTATAGTTAAATATACATTTATCATTAATCATACTTTAAAAAATTTTCTATTTTATTTAGCTCACACGACTGTACGTCCGTATTCAATGTTGACCATGTTGAGCCGTAGAGTGGCGACAATTTTGAAAAAAATTTCAACAAAGGCTTACAGTGAGAACATTACTTCAACTACAGTGAATAATTTTGGTGCAACTATAACAACCAAGAAACCGAATACAACGACTCCGTATGTTAGTAACACCACTACAAAAGTGACAACAGAAAAAATCTCTTCAGCTTCTACACAAAGAAAAGATAGTACCGTTAAAATATTGGTAAATATTTAGTACAGCTTAATTGATTGAAATCATGAGGAAAGGTCAAGAATGAGTTAGTTTAGAAAAACACCTTTTTCATTTTTCTGTCGACGTTTCAACCTATATGCGAGTCATCTTCAGGGCATAAAGTGTGGTGCTATTCTTGTGGTGTCATATTGGTTTTGTGTGAAAATGTTGTGTAAAACCAATATGGCACCACAAGAATAGCACCACACTTTATTCCCTGATAATGACCCGAATCAANAAATCAACAACTCATAAAGAGTCTATTGCCCCAACTGCTACAACCCATACTGATGAAACAACAACTACAACAACAACCACAACCACTATGAAACCAATTTCATCTGAGTATCATACAGCTACCACAAATCGTTTGTCGTCAACAGAGCAAATACCAACAGCTTTAATCCAGCCTGAAGATATTATCATTAATCTCTTGGTAAAGATTGATATTCCATCAAACTACCATTTTTGGTTTGCTTTAAGAGAGAAGATGACCAGAATAAAACTAAATAGTAGATGATCGGGTTTGGTCTGCGAGTTGGCGAACTGCACATTTGTCTGTGTTCACTCGCGGGTTTTTTTGTTTGAGTTATTCAAACGCATTTCGGCATTACGCCATCTTCGTGAAATCAAATCCTTCGGCTTTTCTTGAATCTATGATTTTATTTCATGAGCCATTTCTTTTAGAGTACTAGAATAATTAATTATTTTTCTTGAGTTGTGTTTTATCTCATAAGGCATCAGATGCAAAAACATAACCTACGCAATTATCCTGTGCCCATTCTTTTATTATTTTTTATTTTTATTTATTTATTTTTTAAATAACAAATAAATATGATTGCAAAAAGGNATATATGTACATATATATTTAATTTTTTCTCTGCTAAAATATGTAAAAAATTAAGTTTATTTGATTAAAATTGCCAGCAATTGGCCTAATTTAGACAATAATTAAATAAAAATATTATATTGCTTACTTTATTTGTAAGTACAATATTTTGATAAGTATGTACATATATACATATTTCAGCCCAAATAGTCGGCTATTTAGGAAGTGAAGATTGATTTATTATTACATTGACTTATTTCATTTTAAATATGAAGGTCTATATAAATATAGTTTGTTGTAGATCTGTCTAGGGTTATAAACCTCCAGCTGAGAGCCTGTGTCTACATCCTGAAAATGGATGTTTTCTATCGAATGAAAAAAGAAAAGTTTTTGTAAACTAAAAAAATAAAAAGTTTTGATATCAATTTTGTGTTTGAACTTAGATAGGCCCTAAGCACAATCAAGTACATATAAAAGTCTATAACTATGTTATAAAGGTAAAATACTTATATGAGAAAAAAATTGTATAAAACAAAAGGATTGACATGAGGTGGATGCTGTTAAAAAGATGATTTAACATTTGCTAAACTAAGACAAAAAATATAATAGATTTTGTTTTTGCATAATAAAGTCTTTTGAAGGAGGATTTCTTTTTTTAAAGCCAACAAGTAGATTATAGATATCTCAAAACCTCATTTAGTATTTTTGTACCAATACCAACTTTTCCCTAAACCTGGCAAACCCATCTGTAATGTATGTTGTTGGGTACTTTTGTTTTCTTTTAATTTTCCAGCCATTTATTGCAGTCTGAAGAGGTTAATTAAAATAACATCCTTGATGAAGTGTTGAGTGTTTTGAGCTCTTCTAAGTAAATTTATACAAACCCTTTACAAAAATACTTTTTAAAACAATTGAAACAATACATTGTATGTACAGGAAATGTATTGTTTCCATTGTTTAATTTTTTTTTTTAAAGAGTATATAATTTTTTTACCACAAGAGTTTGTATAAATTTCTGAGGACGGGATGAGTGAGCCCGAAACAAGAACAAGAATAAAAATGTTAAACACTCATCATGGATGTTATTTTAATTAACCTCATCAGACTACAATAAATAACTAGAAAACCAAAAAGCTTCGCAACAACACACATTTTATTATTGATATCAAACCATCCATAAAACTTCTTCCTAGTTTCCTTTTCCAAACAGCCTACTTCCTCTCTTCTCAAAAATATTTGCGAGATCCTACTCAAATGATTGAACTCAACCTTCTCCCAGATCATGAGTTCAGCTTTTATCCTCAACATTCCACAATCCAACAGGCGCTTCGCATTTTGGACCACATATCCTCATCCCTTGAGCATAAACGATATTGTACGGGGCCTTTCTTAACATGATGCAAATGTTTGATCACATGCGGCATGAGGGTCTCCTGTACAAATTAAAATGTGTCCTTTCAACTATCTTGTACCGAATCTTTTGTGCCTGCTGTATTTCCAGAAGTGCCTGACATAGTAAACTCATGATTAAAGAACCCTCAGAGCTACTGGCTACTGACATCTGAGAAAACACTTAAAACATTAGATTCCATCTGACCCAATTTTTAGGTTATGCAATGAGGAGGAAGAACTTACCCATGCTAGCTTCTAATGCGAAGCAACTCTATTAGAGACATAACCAATTGTAATAAGAAAAAAATTGCACCAATGGAATACTACTTTTTACTTATATTGTTAGAAGAATGATTGACACAATTGAACTGAACTAAGGACCTAGGAAAATTAAAATAAGCCAAAAGGCTGCAATTCTTTTGGAAACACCAAACCTTCCTTTTATGCTTTTCATCATCTCACTAATTAATTGACGAAATTTCCTTTTAACGACAACAATTAGATCAAGTCTGATCTTTCCTTGTTGAACATTTTAAAGCAATAGGAAGTAGTGACTCGATCTTTTTGAAAAGTACAGTTCTTACTCACAGTTTGTTATTTCCATCGATCTGGATTTCAAGCTTAAAGCTCATCATCAGTTAAAGGTGTTTCAAGCAAGTCGACATGAAGTGGAAGATAGAACCTCTCCAACGCGACGTTCCAATGAGAAGCTGGTTTTTATTGCCGCTCAATTTTGAACGTGCGAAAAGCGGGAATTACAACACAACTAAATACTGTCTTAATAAATACTGTAAGAAAATAATTTTAAATTAGTGATTAATTTGTATGTCAAATAGTATTTAGATGTATATTTAAGATAGGAGGTATTGGGTTAGTACAAAATTAATAATTAGGTTTTGAAAATTTGTTTTATTTTTGCAATTGCTTGTCATGTAGACAAGCTAAATCCCCAAATCTAATTTATGGATTACAATAAATAATTTTTATAGAATTTTATGAGTGAGGAACTACGAAATTAAATATGTCCAAATTAGATTTTCGTCAAATTTATTTATACGAATTTATACCGCATGTAACATCAATACAGTTGGAATGGTTTCAGAGATTTCGATCTCGAACACTGGGAAGGTCGCGACAGGCTTTCCATTGTGGACGAAAACCAACTCAAAACGTTGAGTGAAGAAAATTCACGTAAGGCAACACGGGAAATTGCGGAATAGGTTAGTGTTGACCATAAACCACCGCATGAACCAACCGAAGCCGAAAGAAATCGACCCTTTGAAATTTGCACGTCTCTTCTGTTGCGCCACCAAAATCATCCACTTCTCGATCGATTCATTACGTGCGATGAGAAATGGAATTTGTACGATGACAGGACGGGTACAGGTCAGTGGTTGGACAAGGATGAAGCGCCAAAACATTTCAACCAAATTTGCACCAAAAAGAGGTTGTGGTGACTGTTTGGTAGTGTACTGTTGGGGTTGTTCAATTATGGTGAAACTATCTCAGCAGAGAAATATTGCCAAGAAATTGACAAAATGCAGTCTTTGTCCAGCATTGTAAGCCGTAAGGGGCCGATTCTTATTCATGATAACGCCAGGCCGCATGTCGAATGCCAACCCTGAGGAAACTTAAGGACTTAGGATAGGAAACCTTACAACACTCTCCGTATTAACCCGACTTCTCGCCTACAGACTTCCACTTGTTTTAGGCATTTTGATCACTTCTTGAGGGATAAAATTTTTAGGGAACGCGATGAAGCCGAAAACGCCTTACAAGACTGTTGTGAGTCTATTTAGCCAATTTTTGACAATTTCTCAAAGATTTTTATGTCAGCGGAAAAAAAGCGCTTATTGCACTTGGCAAAGATGTATAAAACACACTTCTTACCGCTTCTTTTTGGATTTTATGTAAACTTGTGGCCTTTCTTTACTTTCCCTCGACAATCCTGCTAATTCTTTATTATTCATTCCCAACTAATCCCCATAATTATATCATTCGATATCCTCTAATGGCTCGTAAGGCTACATTCCTTGTACTTCTTAACTTTCTAGTGTTTTGCCGGCTTCGTAATCCCAGGTCCGAACGGGGGCTTAGGTAAGAATGAGTAAATTCCCAACTTAACACACTTTTTTCCTCATTTCACTAAAGTAATACATCCTGATTTGGCACATTCACTCTACAAATTTAAGAAAACTTCTTTTTAATATTTTCTCCGAATTAAATTGAATTTTGTTTATTGAGTTTTAAATACAACAAAAACAGAAGAGCGAATGTTTTGTTTTTCACGCTTGTATCCTGCTATTATACTTTCCTTGCTTCAACAACTCCCTGCTCGCTAATTAATATTTACTATTTGTTTCTCTATTCTTTTAATAATAATAATTATTGTTATCCACATCCACACACTATCACACACCTATAATGAGCATCAGAGACACTTCATCTCGTTTGATTTTCTCAATCCATTTAATTATTATTTTTGTGTCGTTCAAACAGCCTTATTTTCTCTACACAGTTTGATTCTTCCTTCGTTAAAGGTCGTCCGACCGCATAAGTATGGCTTTTGACTTTACGTGAATAAAACGGTTTTGTAATTTCGGACAAACCAGAGAAAATGGAATTGAGAAGAGGGAGAGGAGAGAGCGAGAAAGAAGAAAGACTGAAGGAAAAAATGAGTGAGAAGTGAGAGAGAGAAAATATAGATAGAAAGAGAGATAGAAAGATAGATAGATAGAGATAGATAGAGTGAGAAAGAGTGAGAGAGTGAGAAAGAGAGAGGGAGAGAGAGAGCGAGAGGGAGAGGGAGGGAGAGAGAGAGAGAGAGAAAATATAGATAGATAGAAAGAGAGATAGAAAGACAGATAGATAGAGTGAGAAAGAGTGAGAGAGTGAGAAAGAGAGAGAGAGAGTGAGAAAGAGAGAGAGAGAGTGAGAAAGAGAGATAAAGTGAGAAAGAGAGAGAGAGTGAGAAAGAGATAGAGAGTGAGAAACAGGAGAGAGAGAGAGAGAGAGAGAAAGGGGCAGACAGAAAGAGAAAGAACTAAAGAAAGAGAAAAAGAGAGGGCGAGAGTGAGAGATGGAGAAAGAATATAGAAGATATAGAATAATAAGATTAATAATANTCTCTTTCTGTTCCTCACTCTCTCTCTCTTTTTCACTCTCTCTCTCTTTCTCTCTCCTTCTCACTCTCTCTCTCTCTCTTTCTGTTCCTCACTCTCTCTCTCTCTTTCTCTCTCCTTCTCACTCTCTCTCTCTCTTTCTGTTCCTCACTCTCTCTCTCTTTTTCACTCTCTCTCTCTTTCACTCTCTCTCTCTCTTTCTCTCTCCTTCTCACTCTCTCTCTCTTTCTGTTCCTCACTCTCTCTCTCTCTCTTTCTCTCTCCTTCTCACTCTCTCTCTCTCTCTTTCTCTCTCCTTCTCACTCTCTCTCTCTCTCTTTCTGTTCCTCACTCTCTCTCTCTCTTTCTCTCTCTTTCTCACTCTCTCTCTCTCTCTTTCTCCCTCGCTTGCTCGCTCGTAAGTAAGAGGAATCAGAATGAAAGAATGAAGGAAAAAGCAAAAGATTTAAGTGAGAGAAAGAAGTGGAATATAAATAAGTAAATGAGAGAGATAGAGGTGGGTGAGAGAAAGATGGGAAAAGTGATTAGATAAGATGGTTGAGTGAGCAGGAGAGAAGAGAGAAAAAGCAAAATATTTTAAGTGAGAGAATGAAAGAAAGAACAAAAGAATTAAATTACAAAGTAAAAGAGGAAGAGATTGAGTATGTAAAAGAGAGAGTGTGTGTGAGAGGGAGAGAGTGAATTTAAGTGACTGTGGAAGAGAGGGAGTGTGCGTGAGACAGAGAGCAATTTCTGAAGAAAAATTACTTGTACAAGCAGGCAGACGATCTATCAACACGATCATCCATTACTATTACTAACAGGGAACAATTTTTAAGTATTTTGACGAATTCAGTTTCAGGGTGTTTCAACAAAACTCAAGAACTTTTCTCAATTTGTCTGGAGAATCGGAAGATAAATGTACCAGAACCTATTAAAACAGAAGATAGGCAGACAGGAAGTGAATGGCCAGTAAGTCTCAGATTTGGAGGGGTGTGGGGTTGTTCACTACAGTTTAGTACTACTACAGTTACTGGAAATAAATTTAGAGTTAACTTATAACATCTATCGTCTCCAGACAATCTATGTTTGTTTAATTTTGCTGAGAAAGATTTTTGTTCAATCCCATGTCTACTGGGCGGATAACTAGATGATATTTTTTTTCAATTCTCATTTTCTAAACAATTTTAAGAATTAGACTATCACCTGTGTAAAAACCATGCTTTATTGATGAAGACGTATACAGAGAGCATACTAATAAAAGTACAGGGAAAAGTTTGCCCAAAGAGAAAGTACGACTGTTGTCCACTCTTGTTTAGTAACTATTACTAATTGGGAATATTCCACAAGGATTTTTCCTCTAGGAAAAACTCACTTTCACATTTTACAACAATATTATCGCCTCTAGACAAAAAACTTTCAAGCTGTTATCAAAGACAAAAGCGACAACCAGAATAGACTGCTGTTCTATTTGTCTGATCAAATTAACAACAAACAGAGAGACAAATCAATCTAAACTGAGATGACGTCTATTTTTTCCCTCTTGATTAGGAAAACTAGAAAGAATGGCAAAAACCAAAAAATCGACCAAATGCATGTTTTCATAAAAAACCGACTCTGGTGAACAATGCCAAATCCATTTGGAGGTTTTTCAGAGCTTGGATTCCCGAAGAATTTTTTTTGCCAATGAATCAAAATTATGAAAGTCCAAAACAAACCGACCGGAAGATATGATTTGAATATGGACAGACTGAGGATTTTGTAAAGGGCTTAAACAGTCACTGTTATTAGAATGTTCCTATTATAAATTAAGAATATTCCAAAAGATTTTCTACATTTTTCAAAAGACACTGTGTATCAATCAACGAATAAAGCCAGAATAATAACCATATTATAGCAGACAGCCAAGGAATCTGTATGTTAGCATGAAATAACAAGACGAACGAGAGTGATTGATTGATAGCGTTTTATTTAGCAACGCAGAATTAGGTCTCTTGGACCTCTCTTACATCCAACGTGGGCTATAATTTACATATAAACGTTGTAATATAAAATACATTAAATAATTTGCATTATATAACAATAAAAATTATCCATTAGTCTACGTAACATAAATTACGCTGCAATAACTAACTAAGGGCACTCTCAACACGGCACGCAAGAATGGCACAATTACACAGAAGACAAACACTTTGAGTACTGAAGATGATCTCAATAAAGATCGAAACGTTGGCACGAATGGTCTTTCCAAAGACGTCATCGCGTACTTCCCCTACTCAACGGGTCGGATTCGAGATGAGGTGGCGTGGGTCCGTCAGTGCCAGCGGTGCCCGTGCTAGAATTGTCAGTGGCTGTGGTGTTCAAGAGGCTGACTGTCTCGGATGCAAGTTTCTGCCGGATTTGCTATGTTTTGATGCTTTTGAGTCGGGCGAACCGCCTTCAATTAAGCTACCGTAAGTAAATACTTACATTATCGCGAGAAATCCGCTCGCCCATGCCAAAGGCGGATTGCCCAATGGGCACCACCTTTTCTATGATTCTATGATTTACTCGATCGATCACAGTTCCTTTAACACATTTTATGGAAAAATATATGCTTAACGTTCCAGTTGAATTTTTAAAAGTCTTGGTTTATATAGAATATTAAATCATTTCAGACTTCAAAACCCTATATAACAAGTGTTTTTCATTTTGAAAAAAATTGGTAGGTAAAAAAATTGACAAAATAAATTTAATAACAAGTCAAAAAATCAAAATTTTATAATATTATCCATTATTCCGGTAATGAATTTTTCCAAAAAACTAAAACAAAAAAATCAAGAGATTTTCTTCTTTTCCATTTGCTTCTAATTGTTTGTTTTCTAGGCACCGACAAACATAATTTCACCCTCTTAGTTATTCTAAATTTAGCCGATAATGATTTTTCGCCAAATTACAGGAGCGTTTCCATTCTAAAATTGTCTATTTTAAAAGAAAAATTGTTCAGCTTTTTATCTTCTCGATTTTTAGGTACTTTCTTTGTAGTGTAGTCATGTTTTTTACACGGATTATATTTAACTTGCCTTCTTTCACGTTTCTAGAAGAATTATAGAAATATGTTTTTGTATCTTTCAAACTATGAATATAAATTTCACATTATTGCAAACAGAAATCAAACATGACAGTCATGGTGATTTTTCATATTGTTTCTTTCGTGTTTAGTCGTTTTCCCACTTGTTATTATATTTAAATGGACTTCTTCAATGTTTCGTTCAGTTTTAAACATTTCGTTGAAACTTTTAAGCATGCCTTTTATTTGCATACATCAATTTCAGTTTGTGGATCAGATGGTGTTTCTAAATCTTTTAACATCTTCATAGCAGACGATGCATAGAGAAACTTCAATCTTTTTTGTAGAATATTTTGAACAATAGAGTTAATCTCTGCAATACTAAAATAATTATTTTTTGCACTTGAAGAATTGTGATGGGTAGAGCAGAGTCTGTGAGGTCGGCTACTGCCTCGTCCAATTTTTAACAGAGCATGGTTGTTTTAACTCATACTTATAAAGAACAGGCAAAGTCCCTACAGTCTTGCCAATATGGCGATTCATCACACATTCTTTCAATGTAGCAGAAAGTCCAAGAATTAAGACGGACCTGGGTGTGATAACACTTGGCGAAATTATTAGAAAATGATAAAAGACAGTTGGATAAAGTGTATTCCTACATAGAGGGTATCCTCAGCATAAAAAAGGGACAGTTTTCCTGGGAACACCCAATCTGGGTCCGCGCATTGTCTACTAGGTGAGAGTCTGACACATTGACCACGTTGACCACTATATTGCCGTGATCCCTCATCCCATATTTAATTGAAATTGACAATTGCTTTTGTTAATTACTTAATCTGGACTTTATATTATTTTCCGTTGCAGGTTGATATCAGCATAAAAATGGCTTCTCAAAGCGCGAAACGTCATGTTAGCAAAAGAGGAACTGGAAATAACCTCGTTATCACAAGCATCACTGCTTCGACATCAGCTACCCAACCCAATCCGGCTATTCCCGTCGGATTTCCAGTTGCAGCTGATCTCGCATCACTGTTCGAATGTCCTGTGTGCTTCGACTATGTACTGCCCCCTATACTTCAGTGTCAAAGTGGTCATTTAGTTTGTAGCAATTGCCGACCAAAACTTACGTGCTGCCCCACATGTAGAGGACCCCTTGGTAAGTTCCTTATTTTTTCTTTATTTAATCTTGTTTATTATACCTTCCAGCCGTATTACCCTCCTACAAACCCATCAGTCCTCTGTGATATCCAAAACCCCAGAAAAACTTTTCTTATCAATTCCTCTTCCAGTCATTCTGTGATCCAGCAAGGTTTGAGAGTTGTTGATATTTCCTTTTCTTTAAAGAACAAAGTCTGCTTGGGTGCGTTCGTAGGTATGACCCAGACGCCCTTTATAAACATAAACACTTCCTACTCTCCCTTTATCAAGTTATCCCAGAATCCTATCAGATATCAGACCATACAAGAAGGGAGGGAGCTTTCATCCCCATCCTGTATTCTATTTAAACTGCTGACTTTCTTTGACCAACATCATCAGTACTACTTGTCATTCTTCCTTCTAAACTGAATCCTCTCCAATCACCTTCACCATCCACCGACACCTTAAGTTTATCAAAGGTTGGTGCAAACTGAATGAGGAAAAACTGCACTCGCTATCAGTGTACATTTACATGAAAAAAGTCTTGCCCTCCACTGTACCTCAGCAAGGAGCTACTCACATCCACTCAACAAGTCAGTCACTTAGGACTATACCAAGACAGTAGACTGACCTGGAATCACTCAACTATGACTACTAGGATGAAAATCTGTTTGGAGGGTCAAAACTAATTAATCCTATACAAGACATAATCCTTTGGTACACAGATGGATCTAGAACACAAGAAGGTACAGGGACAGGAGTATTTGGACCCGGAACCAAATACTCAGAACCCATGGGAAAACACACCAGTATCTTCCAAGCTGAGATTCACGCAATTGAAAGATGTACCCAATTCAATCTAAGTAAAGGATACAAAAACAAGAATATAGCTATCATGTCAGATAGTCAAGCAGCCATCAAATCATTTAGCTCAAGTATCATTAGTTCAAGGATGGTGCTGAACTGCAAAAACAAATTAAACACACTAGGTATGCAGAATAAAGTCAGCCTCTGCTGGGTCCCAGGACACATGGGAGTAGAAGGCAACGAGAAAGCGGACACCCTTGCAAGGAAAGGGGCTGCTACACCGCTGATAGGACCCGAACCCTTCTGTGGCATAGGAATCCACACTATTAACGAATATCTCAGACAGAAGGACAACAAGAAAATGAAGGAACAATGGAATTCACTCATTGGACATAGACAATCCAAGAATCTTCTAACCAATTTTGGCACGAAAGAAATCACAGAATGTGTCAAAGGAAGCAGGAACAGACTACGAATCCTAACAGGATTCCTAACAGGACACTGTAGATTAAATGGACACCTAGAAAAAATTGGAACAATCCAAGATGGCACATGTAGATTCTGCAAGGAGGCAGAAGAGACACCAACACATTTACTAACAAACTGCGGAGCTACATTAGCCCGCAGGAGGAAATGTTTTGGGATGTATAATGTGACCATAGAAGAGCTTCAACCATTAAAAACGGGCCTATTAATCAAGTTTCTTGATGAAATAGGACTCACCGATGTGCTTTAGGCAGAGAACGGGGGATACAATAGCTCTCAAAGGGTGCAGTATACCATACCCTAAAAAAATTACATCTACATCTATACAAGACATTACCGTGACCTCTTTGGACTGTAGTGAACTGTGCTCTGTCAAGCAATCTTCTGGTGCGTCCAATCTTTCCAGTCCTCAGACAGATTGTCAAAGCAACTTACTACATCACTGACCTCATTATCCTCAATGAATGGATCCTTTTGTCGATGAACTGACCCTGCTTCCAAAAGTTCCATGCCAAGCTTTTGATGCATCCTAACTCTACTGCCCAAGCCTTATTGGGCAAGTTACTGTCCTGAAAACCATGACACGTTAAAAGACGATGAATCCAAAACTTTATCCCATAATTTCTCAGAATGCCAGGGTCAATTTATTTCTCTTTACATGTGTCCTCTGGGTGCAGTGTTATACTGGGAGAAAAAAAAACATACACAAACATATGTTGTAATTTTTATATTTTTTGCCCTTAAATAACTTTTGTTATGTTTTCAGGTAATATAAGGAACCTTGCAATGGAAAAAGTGGCTAGCACAGTTATGTTCCTTTGCAAATATTCTACATCAGGGTGTAATATGTCGCTCTTGCATACAGAAAAAGCAGAGCATGAAGAAATTTGTGAATATAGGCCATATTGTTGCCCTTGCCCTGGGGCAAGTTGCAAATGGCAAGGATCATTGGACCAAGTGATGCCTCATTTATTAATATCACATAAATCTATAACAACCTTACAAGGTTTGTATGATTTGTTTTGAAAATATATTTTTAATTTGCTTCTTTTTTATTTTATTTTTTTGTTTTGCATAATGTGATGTATTTTTTTAGGAGAAGACATTGTTTTTCTTGTAACAGACATCAATTTGCCAGGAGCCGTCGATTGGGTCATGATGCAGTCTTGTTTTGGGCATAATTTTATGCTAGTACTAGAAAAACAAGAAAAATATGCTGGACACCAACAGTTCTTTGCTATTGTCCAGTTGATAGGTTCTAGGAAACAAGCAGAAGTTTTTGCCTATAGGTATTTTTTTGTATTAAATTCTAAACAAAATATTGAAATATAAGGAGAAAGAAAAACCTTTGAATAATAATTAGCATAAAAAAAATTGCTAAGAGGCTCTTAAAAATCCAAAATTAAGTACTAATAGGTTTTTTTTAATTTATAATTTTTTCCTTTCATAGAACCGCCATATATTGATAAAGAGATATTTAAAATAAAATATAAAATTTAATTTCTTATCTTAGATATAAAATACGCTTTTGGTTTGTTTGTCTTATCATCTATCTAATTGCACAGTTTCAAAACCATGAGAAGTAAAGAATGGTCTTTTCTTTGATAGAGTATCCAGGCAGACATCCACCATTCTGATGTTTTTTATTCAAAGTTTCTTAAAGGAAATGTATATACTGAAAGACCAGATGTGTAAAACACATTTCATGTCCTTTTCATCCAGTGATTTCTGAATAATCAGCCTAAATATAATAAATTGTCTTAGAGGCCAGGACTTTGGTTTGTATCGCCGCTTTTGAATTGTTTGAACCAACTCCTTTTCAAAATTCATAAACGAAATGTTTGGTTTTCAGTTGCTGTAAATTTTTCTTTTTCTATAGTGGGTTTTTTTTTTTTTTTTTTTTTTTTCCCCCGTCTTGTATGTGTGTTCATATTTGGGAGGGGGGATTATCGTGAAAAAAGGGCCAGAGGCGACAGTGGGAATCGAACCCACAACTGTGGCATCAATGAGCCGAGAGTCTCTCACGCTAACCACTCGGCTACCGCGGTCCCCTTCTATAGTGTTATTACCACCCTTGATTTAATTCGCATTAAGTATTTCAAAACAAATATTGATAAGGGTAGGGTTAGGACTGGATCACAGGTTTTAATTAAACTTTTATTTTTTATTAAGTGGAGAAATTATTAGAACATGTAGCGTTTTTGCCAATGGGCTTTAGGAGGCAAGAATTTTTTTTCATCATGGTTTTTGCATGTATTTCAAGGTTAATATATTCAGTGATTTGTTATCCTGTCTAGAATAAGCAAACAATAATGCAAGTTTGTATTTAATGAGAATGAATTGAAGTAGGTCCAAAAAATTTGTTTTGAAAAAAAAAAAAAAAAAAAAAACAATTCAGATTTGTTTTAAGTACCCTTTGAGCTGTTGAATAAAAAATTTTATAGATAACAAAAACTAGACATTTTTGACTGGATTTGAATGGGTCAATTCTCTTTCACCAATGTCTGGTATTCCACTTAAATAAAAATTAATAACACTTCTGGATTTAACCCAATTTTAATGTTATTACAACAGCTGGAGAGCGGACTCCCTCTTCTTTCAACTTATGCCAGCATTAATTAGATTTTATGTGATAAGTGACAAAAATAAGGTCAAAGTCAACAAAAACTCGTACAACTTTTTTTTACCGATTTATTCGTGTAGGCCAGGTTTGTGCCATTATATGTAAGTTATAGTGTTCTAAAAATTCATATGAATCTGTGGGTGCTCACTTCAAAACTAGGAACATTTTTGTGATTTTCAAAAAGAAAGTAAATAAACATCCAGTAGGTGATAATTTTGAGGAAAAAAGTAATGTTTTTATGTTCTTTAAAATTTGAAATCAGGGCTCTTTGGGAGTGCAAAAAATATATCAACTTTGTGTCTTGCTAAAAACAATATTGTATTTGAGTATTTCATTTATCTAAGATACCCCTGCTATGGCTGCCAAATATAATTTTGACTTAGTGACCGAAGGGACTTAATGAAGTAGCAAGAAAAAAGTTGATATTCGTTTTTATCCCCCCCCCAAGCCCCTGAAAACAAATTTTTGAGAACAAAAATTCCTCGAAATTTTTCTTCTTCTAGATGCTGATTTTCATGACAAACGAAAAGTATATGTTTTTGCACTTGATCAGTTGGGGGCAAATTTTTTTTGTCTGGTTGGTGTTCCACTTAAAAATTCATTACTCCCCTGGATTTGATCAACATTCAATATTATTACAACCGGTAGAAAGAAAATTTTACTAATTTTAGCTTAGGTCAACAAGGAGATTTTAAATCATTATATGTAAGAAAAATAAGGATGAAATCAACAAAATTTAATCAAACGTTTTATTTTATTGGCTCTGATTTAATTATAGAGGCCAGATTTATGCAATTGTGTTATAATTTTTGTGATTTCTCGAAAGAAATCAGAGAAATGTGTAAGGTAAAAATTGTGAGTAGAAAATATTTATTTTATTTTTTCAAAAATTTGTGTTTCAGGGTGTTTAGGGGGGTGCAAAAAAATGTATATCTTTGTTTTTTGTTAATAAAATATTTTAGCTCACATTTCCTAGGTGTGTTGCTCCATCAAAAAATAATTATGTACCATATTTCAATAGATACAAATTAGCTCATCTGCAGATTGATTCTATTTTTATTTCTGTCAAGTTGGATCAGTTGTTTCAATGTTTCAACTTGAATCAAATCCAGTGGTGTTAGGATATTTTAAGTGGAACGCCAGATCAGCGAGAGAAAAAATGCCCCCCAGCGAATTTAGCCAAATTTTAAAAAAAATTATTGCGATGAAATTTCAAATTTAAGTGCTTTACAGGGAGCTTAAAATGACTCCAATTTTTTTGTTCAAAAACTTTTTTTTTGCCTATTATATTGGAAGCCTACAAGCTTTTTGTATATCTAATCTCAATAATATAACCCTGTATATTATTTTTTTAATCCTAGGGTAAAAAAAGCTCTACTGATATATAATAACATTGAAATACATGAAGAACAGAGAAAATAATATTTTAAAAAATTATTTAAATTAGCTAAATTTTTTTTTCTTGGCTCTTAGGGGACCATATGCAAAAACACAAAGACACGAATCTTATAATTTTCAGCCTAGTATCACCAAAAACGTCTCATTAAATTCAATTGATCCTTATAGTCTCTCCTGGTGGGGGTACAAATTTGAGAAATTTGCAAAATATTTTATAAACTAGTATTAAAATCATTCCAGTAACAATATGGGAAATAGATTCAATAAACATATAAACAAGTTTAATACAGTTTTTTTTGCTCACCTCTTTATTTAATAGAGCTGAGTTTTAAAATACTATGAGAAAATTATGAATAATGCCCCTTTTTGCTTTTTGAAATGTGACTATAACAGATTTAAATTGTTAATCAATATAAATATTTCGTTTTTATATCAATCTTTAATTAGAGTTTAAATAAATAATATAATTAAATAACGTCAAGATATTTGAATTATAAATTGGTTCTAGGCTTGAACTTAACGGCCATCGGAGGAGATTAACCTGGGAAGCGACACCTAGGAGTATTCATGAAGGGATAGCATCGGCAATTTTGAGCTCTGATTGTTTAGTATTTGACACCTCAATTGTTCAACTTTTCGAAGATAATGGAAACTTAGGCATAAATGTTACTATTTCAATGGTGTAAGTATTGATATTTATTTTTTTTTAAAGTAAATATTTATATATTTTTTTCTCTTACAGATCAGATAAGGTTCGTGATTGATGGTAAGTACCATATTATTCATAATAACTTAATTAATGAAACAGGTGTAGTCTCTTGTCTCGTAGGTTGAGTTATGTTTTTTTACCTTGCCCTTAAGCCCTTTTGCTGCAATTTGCATAGTGACTTTTTTGTCCTGTAGACGTTTAAGGTAGGGGAGTAGAAAAATGTAAAAGTAAGAGGACGAATCTTTGGCCGGGACGGGTAGAATATTCCCTAAACATCAGAGACTCTATCAAGTCCAATCGGAAGTTTTCTAGCTTATGGAAGAGGTGAAAGGCAAACTTTTTGTCCCATTTGCCAAATAACAAATTTTATCATATTCATTGACAACTTGTCCTTGTAAGACTCCATTTTCAACAATTAGGAAAAACTAATTTTAAAAAAAATTAGTAAACACTGAAAAATATAAATAAATTTTATATACAACATTATTTATATTATTAATAATATCCTAATTTGTTTAAAAATTAAATTACTTAAAATTAAATGAAGAGAATACATTGACACCAAATTGATAAACTTTACAGTTTTTTTCATTACATAACCCTCAAAATCACGAAAATATTTTAGTATTTAACAGTCTATCCATCAATTCTGTTATCATATTTAATGCGAAAATAATCAAATCTTAAACTTTGAAAAGAAAAAAAAAAAAAATGAAAAAAATTCACAGCCAATTTTCTAAGGTATCAGTTTATACGGGAATGGCACATAACGTTTGAAAGCTGGTTTCACAATGAATCTAAAAACTGCTTCAGTGTGTAAATCGATAAAGGCGGAGAAAATGATAGCCAATAGAAAATGGGGCATCCGAAAAATGGCCTGGAACTCAAATCCAGATTGCAATATTTGACTAATAGAAAAAATCGAACCCTCTATTTAAAAATTGCAATTTCAGACAAAGTTTTATTTGTAAGTAACAATCGTAGTGCTACCAACAATTTTAAAATATTTTAAATTTGAGCCTAAAATTTAACATTTTAGAAAAACATTGCAATTATTATAATGAAGTAATTTCAAATGTGTAATCGGATTGGATTCTCGGCGACAAATGAAATGGCTACCGAGAACTTTAGTGAAGTATACTTCATTTTAATTCATTAAATTCACTAATTTTGTGGTCCGCTTGACCAATTAATATATTACAATTAATTAAGGTTTTTAGTTGAGATAAAAATTTGTCGCCGAGAATCCAATCCGATTACACGACATTTGAAAAATGGCAAAAAGGAGGGAAAATTCAAAAGGTGGGGTTGAGATGGGAAGTTAGTGTCCGAGTGGATCGAGGTCACGATAGCTCAAGTGGTAGAGCAGCGGCGTATCTAGCCGAAGATCGTGGGTTCGAATCCCGCTCGTGCCATTGACTTTTTTATCTCAACTAAAAACCTTAATTAATTGTTAATATATTAATTGGTCAAGCGGACCACGAAATTAGTGAATTATAATTATTATTCAGAGATCGTGAGATGCTGTTGTTTTTAGGTTGTGGTTTTAGAAAAACATTTTCTTTATCGTGCCAACGTTTCGATCTTCATTGAGATCATCTTCAGGGCTCAAAGTGTTTGTTTACCTTGTAGATGTGTCATTCTTGTTTGTCGTGTTGAGAATGCCTCTCACTCTCGCTCGGCAGCATCTGGGCCCCTTGTTACAATTCTTGGAGTAAACAGGGCCGTTGTATTGTATTTATTTTTCTGTGAATTAACAAGAATGTGTAGAGTGAGACAGCCTGTGGAATTTTTTTTTCTGACCATCATCCCCAAATTAGAAGAACTGTATGTAAGTTAGGAAAGTTAATTTTTTGCTGTAACAAAATTTAAACGTAAAATAAATATTTAATTGGAATAATGTGTTGTAAAATGCTAAATTTTTGGCTCAAAATTAAAATACAGTAAAACCCTCTGGTAATCGTGGTAATAGTGGGTAGGGGGTCCATGGAAAATCAAAAACCCCAGATAATGGAATTTATTTTTTTATAATTTATATATATATATTTTTTTTATACATATCTAACAAAATATTTTGATTAAATTTTTTTTCTTCAAAAAATAATGCACAGAAGATCAAATTGAAAAATGTCTTCTTTCTAACGTTGTCAAGGAGATTCAAAAGGACTGTGGCAATGTTTCATTCGAAAAATACCCCCAACACTACAGCAAGCTTCGAATGTGAGGGGGGGGTTTCCATAAGAGGCTCGTCATTCTGGAACGACATCAGTAAATGGAGAAGGGTTTAGTGGGTACTGTGTCGTTCCAGAACGACGGCCGTAAGACCCGGGGCCCGGATAATCTAACCGAATGATGGAGGTTTTAATGAATTTTCAAAATTGTGTCTAACCCTAATATCGTTACCTAAAGAATATACTTTACTCACAATTTGTTTATTTATTTATTTTTTGTAATGTGGTTCGATTATTTTGTCTATTTTGTAAAATACTGCAATCCAGCCCATAGGTCTCACATTTGACCCGCCACCCTGTATGGGTTAAAAAATCGATGTCAATATAATATTGAAACAGTACTCAACCGAAAGCTTCATTCAGCTACTAGCTTTCACATAAAATATGCATTACCTCGTTTTAAAATTCAGTTAAAATATCATGGTTTTTATGTATAAATAAAACCTAGAAATGTCCTATTTTAACGTTTTTACTTGTTTTTTGTTCTAGAACTGAAAGATGTTTGAAGATGCTCTACAAATCTAATTAATGATATTTTAAATTATGTAAGTATAAGACAATACGGTTATGCGAGAGGTAGGTCAAAAAATATTATTCGCAATCAATCGCTTAATTTTCAAATAAGCTGATAAATTTATCATAAAATTAGGTTTTGTAATTTTTTTCTGGCAAAATAACTGTAAAATTGATGCGTTAATTTAATTTTACAAAGGAGAAAACGGAAGGGGATTAGGATATCATTATTTTACTCACTAAATTGAAAAAAATTAAGTTGTAGGAAATTTTTATTTTTATCCGATATATTTCTCATGTTGCACAAATAAATAAACATCTCGATAAATGAACAATGCGATGGAAGAGCAAAACTAAATTAACAAATACTTATGAAATTAATGTTATTACTACTTAATTCACTACTTTTGTGGTCCGCTTGACAAATTAATACATGACAATTAATTAAGGTTTTTAGTTGAGATGAAAAAAAGTTAATGGCACGAGAGGGATTCCAACCCACGACCTTCGGCTAGATACGCCGCCTTATGAGTTTTCCCTCCTTTTGCCATTTTTCAAATGTCGTGTAATCGGTTTGGATTCTCGATGACAATTGAAATGGCGACGGAGAGCTTTAGTAAAGTGTACTTCATTTTTAAATTACTGCAGCGTATCTAGCTGAAGGTCGTGGGTTCGAATCCCTCTCATGCCATTAACTTTTTTTCATCTCAACTAAAATCCTTAATTAATTGTCATGTATTAATTGGTCAAGCGGACCACGAAAGTATTGAATTAACGATTTAAAAATGAAGTACACTTCACTAAAGCTCTCCGTCGCCATTTCAATTGTCGTCGAGAATCCAAACCGATTATTTGACATTTGAAAAATGGCAAAAGGAGGGAAAACTCATAAGGTGGGGTTGAGATGGGGAGTTGATGTCCGAGTGGATCGAGGTCACCGATAGCTCAGGTAGTAGAGCAGCGGCGTATCTAGCCGAAGGTCGTGGGTTCGAATCCCTCTCGTGTCAATAACCTTTTTTTCATCTCAACTAAAAACCTTAATTAATTGTTGTTATTACTACTTTTTTTAATAGTTAGCTTATTTTTCTACTCACTGTTAATTCCCTTATACTATGAACTTCAGCTTGCTATTCTACATAAGCGATCATAATAAACATAGATATAACTCTCAATATTTTTGCATATATATGAAAACAGTCAATTAAAGTATATAAATTTTATAAAATGTATGGTCTAAAATATTAGAAATTTAATTTAAATGTAACTTTTATTTGTCTTATAGGTGGTGAAAAATCTGCAAGGCTTGTTTATATTATTTTCATTAATTTTCATATTTAAAAAAAAAGTATTTGTATGAATAATGAGGCTTAACCAGAAAGGAGACAGTAATATTTTTCTATTATTGTTAGAGGGATAATAGAATAACTGCAACCAATATGGCGTGGAGAGGAATGTAAAAGTATATGCATTTCAACAATTTTGGGTTTGCAATGTATTAATGAGATCGTACAAGGATTGTTTTTCTCTTACAACATGAAATAGAATCGAGACATAATGTTGAGTTATTTTATAACTGACTGGTTTTAATTTCTTCTCGCCATAAAATTAATCACATTAGTAATACTCTACCTGTTAAAAATGTGTATAGTTGTATAGAAAATATTTTAGAGTGATAAGCATTTAGTAAAAGTAATATAATTGAACTGTTGAAAGTTTTTACAGCATTTATATATTAATTATCGTTAAAATAAAGTTAAAGTAATTTTTATTGGTCTTACTTTTTGGAAATTTTGTTTCTGTAATCTTTGCGTTTGCACATGGTTGGTATAATAATAGTATTAAAATGTAGGTTTGGTTGTAACATTACAATATACTATATTTTTGAATACACCTTTTTGTAAACTGTAAATGATTTTATGCTCTTTTGCAAATCATACAAATGTTAAATCAAAATAATTTTTGATTTTGTATTATCATTTCCCTTGTGATGTTCGGTTTGAGTAAATTTAATTCTCATTTTATTTTTTGTCTAGAATTTGAAAGTAATTAAATATGTAAATATAATAGTAGTATATCTTTGAACTTGAATGTAGTTTTAAATTGGTTAGATGAAAAGCTTTTAATTTTTTGTACGTTCATTTTGTCTCCTTCATTTTATACTTTCCATTTTTTTAAAGAGCTGTGGCTTGATAACAGTCAGTTTAAAAAAATCTAAATAAATATTCTGTGATATATTATACGGGAATATTTACTGATTCCTGTTTTTACTATTTTCTTTTTTTCATTAAGATCATAAATTGATTTTTTTGTTTTAATTATATATAAGGCTGATTGTTTTGTACCCAGTAAGTTCAAAATAAGGATTGCAGATTGCTGACGATGAGAAACAATGTGTAAATATTTTAAAATATTTTTTATATCAGTCACAATTTGTAAAAAATATTTTCTCCTTTTCCAGATTGGTTTTTATTATGTTTTAGAACACCTTGGATGTTATTAGAATTATTTTTTATGTAAAAATTTTTTTTTGATGGAGTATTGCAAAACTTACTAAACTTTTTGAAAATTATAAAACGAAAGATATTTTCTAATGTGTTTATGTAAATTAACCCTTAATTAAGTGGATTAGTGTCCGCTTTCTTTTGTTGTAAATTTTAATAAAAAGTCAAGGTTTTATTAGTGATTAATTTTTTTTTACGTTAATCAAATCACCAAGTGGCTTATTAGTCCGTGTAATACAATGCTAATTATAATCCAATATTTGCGGTGATAAAAATGTTTTTATTTTATTTTTTTATTTATTTTTTTTTTTGTGTGGTAATTTCACCCTGAATCACTTAAATCATCTCAACATTTGTTTATTTTATAAACCAGGAAAACATATTACAAAATTAATGAATTTAATATTATATCAACTAAGGAAGAAATGTCAATTGTAAAGCTATCTTGTAATGTAAATGCAACAAACATTTCTATAGAATAGACTCTTCTTTTTTTTTCAAAAATTTACCGACATGTCAGTGTTAATTTCCACATTTTGTCAACAAAAAAAAATCTAAGCTTAAATGAATATGAAAACAAATTATTTAAAAAAAAGTCTTCACGTCCAAATTGCTACTCTAGTGTCGGCCAAGAGGCCACATCTTCATGTCAGCATGGAATATTCCAGGGGTAAATCAGATGTTGAATGTGTTCTAATTATTCTGGCATGTTAACCATACATATCCTGGTAGTATAAAAATTCCAGAAATATATGTATGTTTTAACAGTCAATTTTACATTTAGCTTTGTCCAACTTTGAGGTTGAGAAAGCTGTTCAGATGTTATCACTTTAAAAAACTAATGAAGTGTTTGTTGTGTACATATAATTAATAACTCAAATTTATTGTGATGTACTTTATTGCATCAAAATTGTTTTTAAAAACCTAATAATTCATTTGCTATGAGTGTTTGGTGTTTATTTCAGTTACAGGCGAGGCAAGGTTTTACGCGTATCTTCGTGTTCATCCGCTTGATTTTTTTTATTTATTTATTTTTTTTATTTTGTTCTTTTAAATCGGTTTGAAAATTTATACCTGTTTTGTTTCAGTGAGGAGTCAAGCTTATTTATTATTGAAATATGTTTTTATGTACAGATCAGCTAAAAGAAATTTACAATTGGCTTGAGTTTTTTTATATCTTCCATAAGATTTGAATAATTATATTAAACATTTGTTAATATACAATTAGATAATGCATTGTTTTTTGTATGAATACAGCTAAAAAAATTAAAATTACAATTTGATTTTATTGAAAGATGCTTATTAATCAAATTTCCCTTTGAATGTGAAAATTATTGTCACTGACGATATTTTTTTCCCTAGTTTAGTAAATTAATTCCTGCCTTGTATACTAAAACATTTCTCTTTCTTATTATTAAACAAAATTCACACAGTTATTTAAAACGTAGCAATTGATAAGCTTTCTTACAAATGTGGTCAACATGACAATAGAAATAAGATGGGTCCTAGGTGAGAGCCTTGAAGCCCACCAGAAGCAGTCAAGTGTGAGATAAAGATGATTCTTCAGGAAAGTAAATTTTTTTATACTTTTAAAATTATTAATTAATTATTATTAAATTATCGAGGTCACACTCAAGTGGTAGAGCAGCGGCGTATCAAGCTGAAGATCGTGGGTTCGAATCCCACTCGTGCCATTGACTTTTTATCTCAACTAAAAACCTTAATTAATTGTAATATATTAATTGGTCAAGCGGACCACGAAATTAGTGAATTTAAAATTATTTTTTTTTTTTTGCTTGCAAATAGTTCTTAAACTATCAGTTATGTGGTGGTTATTCAATTTTTTAAATATTTGTGTTGAATGTCGTGATGCAGTTTTTATTGTTATTATTATTTATTTTATGTTTTTACTTTATGCAGTTTTATTATTATTTATTTTATATTTTCTTGGATACATTGCCAAACCCAGGAAAGTTTTGTAACATAATATTTATTTATTTTTATATGTAGGATGTATATAAACAATAGCAATCAGTCAAAGAAAATTCTCTTCCTACCTAAAAAAATATGACTGAGGGCTCCAAATTTTTCTTCATCATGGAGGCGAAAAAGTGTTGTAAAAAGAAATTGAAAATTATTTTGACATACTAGTCCAAGATATTTTCTTTGTGAATGATAATTAGCCCCCCAAAAAAAATGTCAGAAAAAGAAAAAAATGAGGATGTGGAACTGATTTTCCTAGTATCAGAGGTGAAGTACTTATGGAAAAGAAAGATATTTTTTCTATTACAATTAATTAAGGTTTTTAGTTGAGATAAAAAGTCAATGGCACGAGTGGGATTCGAACCCACGATCTTCGGCTTGATACGCCGCTGCTCTACCACTTGAGCTATCGTGACCTCGATCCACTCGGACACCAACTTCCCATCCCATTAGTGAATTTAAGATATTTTTTCTGTTAACAATAAATAACCAAAACCCTTGACATCAAGACCCAACTGACTTGATTTTTAAAAAGTTCATACAAAATGACTATTTATTTATATTCATTTCAGTTACGAATGCATAAATTGAAAAATTAAAAATAAATGTCTATAAAATATTGAATTGGGGTGCTAATTTTTCCTAGTCTCGCAGGCAAAGAAATTTCAGAAAAGTGAGAATTATTTTGACCTAAATTGCCCGTGATATTTTCCGCTGGATGATAACCAATCAAAACCCTTGACATACAAATTAAAAATCTCCAGAAAAAAAGAATGATCAGAAATTTATAAAATATTTTTCTTGTCCATAAACTAAAAAAAAAAAAAAAATTAATTAAAATAAAAATAAAACAAGCATATTGAAAAATATATTGTCTGAAAAAGGAGTTGTTGTTTTCTTGTACAGAGATGAAGAAGTTTCAGAAAAATTGAGAATTATTTTGACTTAATAACCCAAGATATTTTTACTCTGTATGATAATGAACGAAAAACCTTTTTTATATACAAATTAAAAATTGGATCTCTAGTAGCTAAAATAGCTCTTTAGGAATTTTGTAAAATATTTTTACTACATGTAAACAGTTAAAACAAAATCTTCATAAAAGTTGAACAAATAATTGGCTGAAAGAGAGGCTGTATATTTCTCGTTTAGAGGTGAAGAAGTTTAAAAAAAAATGGAGAGTTATTTTGACCTAATAGCCCAAGATATTTTTTATGTGTACAATAATCTACCAAAAACCTTTTATATACAAATTAAAAATTGAATCTCCAGCACAAAGAAACTCTTCAGGAATTTTTTAAAATATTTTTCTTATGTATTAACAGTTAAAAAAAATATGTCCATAAAAATTGAAATAATAGATAAGGCTGAAAGAGGGGCTGTATTTTTCTCATTTAGAGGTGAAGAAGTTTCAGAAAAATTGAGAATTATTTTGACTTAATAGCCCAAGATATTTTTACTGTGCATGATAATCAGCCTGTAAAAACCTTTTATATACAAACTAAAAATTGTACTCCAGTAAAAAGAAGCTCTTTAGGAATTTTGTAAAATATTTTTACTACATATAAACAGTTAAAAAAAATCTTCATAGAAGTTGAAAAAATAATTGGCTGAAAGAGGGGCTGTCTTTTTCTCGTTTAGAGGTGAAGAAGTTTCAGAAAAATTGAGAATTACTTTTTCCTAATAGCCCAGATATTTTTACTCTGTATGATAATCAGTCAAAATCCTTTACATACCAACTAAAAATTGGGTCCCCAGCAAAAAGCAGCTCTTCAGGAATTTTTTAAATTATTTTTTGTACATATAAACAGTAAAAAAAATCTTCATAAAAATGGAACAAATAGTTGGCCGAAAGACAGGCTATATTTTTCTCATTGAGAGGGGAAGAAGTTTCAGAAAAATTGAGAATTAGTTTGACCATTTTTTTAAAACTAAACACTAACCATCCCTTTTGACCTTATGGCCTAAGATATTTTTACCCTGTATGATAATCAACCAAAAACCTTGAAATGGTAATAAATAGTTTAAATGTCTGATTTAAAAAAAAAATATTATTTGCGTAAGAATGTCAATTAATAGATCGAAATCAAGTGTGGTTGATTGTGAACGGAGCGACCGGCGCAATGTTAAGTCCGTTGTGAGGAGGCGGTCGGTGGCCAGTAAGTGATCGAGTGGGGAAGTGTAGGGTCGATTCCCACTGCGTTCTTCCTCGTCCCTGTGAATGGCTCTCGTCTTTAATGGACAACCAGGCGATCCTCCACAAATGTCGTCCCGGTACGGCCACCTTGTCCAAGCCGCAGATACTCGATCCTTCCTGGTCCATGAACATAGACATGACGGAAATCAGACTGGCCACGTTGGCCGAAGTCGAATCTTTAATAACGAAGCCGAGGAAAGGCCCTGTACATATCACAGAAGACACTTTTCTCAAATACAAGAAACGTTTCTTCGATGTCAACGATATGAAAAGACCTAAAAGGAATATCCCCGGACCGATCAACAACGAACGTCCTAAAGTCAGCGCTATGGATATTCTTGGTGAAGAGGTATGCTTTAGTTCTATCTTAACTGCTTTTCCTTTTAACTTACATAACAGAAGAGACATATTTGATAAACCTTCTGAATATTTTCTCATAAATTTCAGATGCCTCACTTTTAATTTTCTGGATTAATTCTTCTAAAATTTTATCGAAGCTACCAGCTTTGTCCCGTAAATTTGCCCGCTGAGTATGGGAAGCAAGTTAGCATGAAAGCAACTAAAGAATACAATCTTCTTCTCCATGTCAAAAATCCTGGAAACACTCCTTTTTAAAACGCCTCATCCTATATCCACATAGAACTTCATTTTCACCAATTCGCTTCCATCGCAATCATTCAAAATCCAGCACAGCTTCAAGCCTCAAAGACTTCTCCTTGTACTGTTCCGAAGTAAACCTACCGATTGCTGAAAAATATTCATCCTCGCCAAATTAGTCGCACCAGCTACCAGAACCAGCTTAGTACTTGGATCCAGGGCTGCAGACCAATTGGCACTGTGGTTAATCAACAGAGCGACCAGTTGAACTCCGAACAAATTTTGACTACTATCAGCCTTTAGTATATTATTTGCTGTCCTTAACTATTGATATTGACTCTACTGCTACATTTATTGGATCTGGTGCAGTCACTACTGGATCTGGTTCAGAGCTAGGATCTGGATTATCTTTGGTTCTGGCCTGATTGCTTATTCTAGAAAAACTTCACCTAATGGACAGTTGTTCTCGTATGCCATCGTCGGTTTTCCAATGGCAGAAGCCATAGCATAATTTGCATTGATGTATTTCTTACTCTTTTATGTATGCAAAACGCATTAACCTACTTTTATCTTGCGAGCCAAAATTAAATCAAGTCAGGCGTAAATAAAAGTGCTTGAAATATAATGACGAGTGTACAAAGAAACCTGAACTTCATCCACTCTACGGAACGAAATGTAGTCCTGGCTTTAGTATTTTTTACTAAAACATACAATCCTTACCTTCCTCTTTTATGGAAGTATTCCTAGTCGTTCATATTCCCCCGGACATAGGCAATCGAAGGAGTTTGTGAAGGAGATCAAACCAAAAGAATCGAAATGGCTATTCTCTAACTCAAGGAAGGGAATTAGGAGGCTGATAGGTATCCTGCCGGGCCATTGCCTTTGAAAGACCCCTCTTCGTAATGGGTATTTTACCCCTTCTGCCGTTTTTATGAAATAAAAGAAGAAACGGCACGGCACTACCTCGCAGAGCGTGATAGGTACGCCAGGTGTAGATTCGAAACTTTTGAAGGAGAGGACATTACCAAATCACTCCCCGAGATAAAATGGTCCAAAATCTTGGGGTTTGTGAACAAGTTCAAGAGGTTTATGCTGGACATGTGAACCGACCAAGTCCCGGACCCTTTAGGTATGGGGTACGAGTCTACCCAGGCATTTAACCCCTCGGGACTTGGTCGCCCGCCCTGCGTAATAGATATATTCCTAAAGCTCACAAACTTCCTACAGAGCTAATAAATGCTCGAAGACTGCTTTTAAAACGTTTAATACCCAGCGTAGATTCAAGGAAGAAGAGAAAAAAGAGCATGCTTAGTACGTTCCTAGATGCGGCCCAGGCTTTTGATATGGTCTTTCACCGAGGCTTAAACGCCTCCTACTAAGCCCTACCCATACCTTAATCCTTATCCTGGATACCTAATTAACTGACCGCTGATACAGAGTGGTGCAACAAGGAATAGTCAGATATAATACCAATGTTGATGTAATATTCGGGATGAGTAATATACCGCGCCCTTGAGAAATATTGTATCTCCTGTACCTACAGCATACCGATTAGCCCTAGTTGCTCAAGAAATTAGTAGGCCCAGTTTCAGTGGTTGAATTTCTTCTACAGTTACGTTGTACGTCCGAAAACCCTTCCTCCTTGTTAGTACACTTGTTGGTGTCTCCTATGCTTCCTTATATCTGCACGTGTCGTGTTGTATTATTCCTATCTTCCTCAAATGCCCATTTAGTCAAATACGAGCAGGCGTTCCACAAGGGAACATTCTTGTCTGCATTTTACTGATTTTCTATACATCTTAACACCATCATGACCCTGGATGACACTCTAGTCTTCTAGCCCAAATCTTATCGAAGCAATCTCCAACACCCAAGAACAACTTGACTGATGCAAACTGTCTTGGATAGGGAGAAGATTAGGAGGCCACAAGGCCTCCGCACCTCTATCTGAGTGGATCTATTGTGATCCTCTATTTTTTATAATTCATTGGTCAGCTTCAGATTATTAGTCAACCTCCATAAGCTTGCCAGCTCCTTAGTGTAGGATCTTGTTTGCGGGATTTCCTCTCCTAGTAATAAGAATCTACACCTATGTAGACACTCACAAAACCAGAGAATGTTCTGCGGTCTTCTCTTCTTCTAGGCAGTATCTGCACAGTGGTTCTTCTGTCTGTACTCATATCCGGTGCCTTGTTACGCGGCAGTGCCCTGAAATCGAAACCGCGGCCGGAGGTTTCGACGCTAGCGGAGCCCCTACACACAGGGAGATTGAGATGTCTTCTCTATCTAGGGTGTGCGTGGGAGACCGGCTGATGCATTTCGGCCCTATCGGGCGTCCCTTTACGCGTGGCACTGGTGCACAATGTTAACCCACCCCCTCGGAAGGGGCAAGCGGGAGAAATCGGCATGTCTGTTTGATTAGTCTGTGGATTTGCGGGCTTCTACGCCGAACCTCACGGTCTTACAGCCAACCTTGCGTGGAGGTGATTCCCTCCTAACTTGAGCATCTAAACGTGTGACGGCCTATGTGCCAGGTGCGCACGCTAAAGAACCTCAATGTTATAAGACATTGCGACCCCCAACAGGAAACATTTGCCCTGACAGGAGTCCAACCAGAATCCTGGACCTAGAGAATTCATGACGTTTTTGGTCAACATGACCACGTTCTTATTGCCTCCGTGTCCCTACATGCCATGTCACGTACTTCTTCCAGGGATTGCACACAATTCCATACGCCTCTTGCCTTTACCTGGCATGAGGCGTAAGTGCCGCCTGATTGACAGAGAAATTGGCTATTTGCTCGGAATGTGTTCTGTGCCTTTTTAATTCTTTGGCGCATTGTTCAATTGTTACGATTTCGGACTGAAAATCTAGCATGTTTAGTGTCGTTTAAAGTCGGTTCAGTATTCACGCTGAGTACTCCAGCTGCCGCGCCTCTATCCGTTTTTGAGCCGTCAGTTATTGGCTTTCAGAGGTATCCCTTTGGACCACTCTTCCCTTTCTGGACCTCGTACTTGTTGTATTTTGAAGTAGTGGTATCGATTGCCATTTCTAGTATGGCATCTGTCTGTTTCACCTCCCTCAGTTTCCCTGGTTCTTGGAGATGATTATCCATTTATGAGCCTGTGATCCGCTGCTTGCAAACTGTCTGACAACACTGAATATGAAAAATGAACATAGTGTGAACAATTACGTTAAAAAAAATCTTTTCCTCTACGGTACATAAACTACAAGGACCTACCGACTTCTATTCAAGTCAGATACCTAGGAACGAGGCAGCAGGCTGACCTGCAATCACCTGACAAGACTTGAGAAACAACTTAACCGAAGACTTTCGACCAAACTCAACCTCTTTTGAGTGGAACTGTGTTTCCGCCAAGCAATCCGATATCGAACGCAACCAATCCTTCCACTCAAAAGTCCATAGGCAAACTAACAAAGCTCATTTCTCATCATTAGTCTCACTATCCACAACGAGTTTAATATCCCATTCCGGTTCAAAAAGGTCTAGAACAACCGTGACATCCATCCTCACTGCCCAAGTCTTATCTGCACATTCCCATATTTACATCTTTATAGCACGGTAGCCTTGAGACCTCCTCGCCCCTTACTCATCCATATTGAATGTCAACGTCGGCTGGTTTCCCACAACCTATGATCTCCGGGTCTAAGTGTTGTGACCAGAAGGAATTTATAATACGTATTCATAAGCTAAAAATAAAAAAAAGAAATGTAACATAAAAGAAAGCAAATTACAGATGTATATTAAGGTTGTCTAATATCTAGGAAAGGAAAAATGAACAAGTGATATTGAGTTACTTGTAAGCCGGTTGATCACACCCAATTAGTAGTGTGGATGGAATGAAATCCATTCTGAAATGTCTCATAAATAAAGCACAATCAATAAATACGTTTGTCTATATTGACGGTGATGTTATTTATTAAATATTCCCCTTGAGAGGTACTCAGCTGAAAGGAAGTTTGACAACAATTAAGGGATAATGGGAATAAAATGATTTGTGGCTAAGGAAGGGTTAATCTCCTAGTATAAAGACTAATATAGTGCCGATCAAATCAGTAATCCGAACATTTCCCACCTATTTTCTGTAAAATTAATTAATCGTTAATAAATGTTGATGTGGACAAAAAATTAATAAATCACTAATAAATGTTGTTGTGGACAAGTAGTTTTGTAATAACCATTTTTTCCTTCAAATTAACGACTTTTAATTGGAAATCAAACATTTTTAATCTTACATTAACTCTTTCTCTCGTCACTTTAACCCTTTTTAATTTGAACTTAACCCTTTTCCACTTCAAATAGCCCTTTTTTAATTTATATAAAGGATTAAACGAAAACTTAGGAGATGATATGAAATGTAAGCTTGTAAAATATAATTTCTGTATAATTGAGAATTTAAAAAAATAAAAATAAAATAATTGGACGGCCATATGATTTTACTTAGTTACTTTTAAAATTATAAATCAAATGATTCGTCTTATAATTTGAGAACTTTTTAAAAATATACAATAATTAGGCGTTTAAAAGCCATAAGAAAATGAATTATTATTAAAATTCAAGAAATATAAAAAGTAAACATAAAACAAATATTTTTTATTAGAAAATTTTTAATAGAAAATAATTGGGCTCTTATATGTATAAAATACATAGGAATCTTTTATGCAGTGGTTCCAAATCTCTCCATTTTATTTTTTTTTCTATTTTTTACGAGGGTTCGCAACAGCAGAGGTCATATAAACCCTCAGGGTGCCGGTGTTTTTGAAAAAACCCATTTGTAAGGATGTCGAGTTCGAATGCAGGGCCGCTGGATTCGAACCCGGGACCTTTACCTTACAGTGATGAGCGCTTCAACCGTTGCGGCCCTCCATTTTATTAAAATTTTACAATTAAAAGAAGTTATTTATTTTTATATTTAATTTCGTATAATTTATCATTTTAATTGTAATTAATTTTCATAGGTCTTTTAAGAAGCCAATTATTTTTTATTTTATTAATTTTTTTAAACTTGGGAATTTTTCTTTACGTGCTTAGATTTCATACCATCTCTTAGGTTTTTAAATGTTTTATTTAAAGGGTTAGTCTGAAATTAAAAAAGAGGTCAATTTGAAGTTAAAAACGGTTAATTTGAAAATTAAATGCAATTAATTTCACGGCAAAAAGATCAATTTAAAATTAAAAAGGGATAGCTTAATGGAAAACGGTTAATGAGAAATTACAAAGGGTTAATTTTCATATTAAAAGGGGTTAAATTGACGTATAATATATATATATATATATATATTAATTTGATTAAACCTTTGACAAAAAAATTTCTCCCACTCATTCTCCATGCTAGAGCGTACGCTGAACTAAACGATAAATAGCGCGCGCTTAGCATAAAACGTTCCTTTCTATGTCGTCCCGACTCGCTCAGTGGTGTCCAGAATTTCAGAAGATTAGACGACGAGGAGGAATGTTTGGAAGAGGTTGGGAGGAAAGGTGTACATGAGGATTAGAAATGAGTTAAGCTAGGGCTGGAATTAGGTTTAATAAATAAATTAAAATTTATTTATTACTACCTGTATTAATGAAATGTAAATCTCGTAATTTGAGGTTAATTACATTTTTACATTTATACGCTGTATATTGAGGGGAGTCGCCAACCATTGTTGGTCTCCCATAATTAGGATTAGTGTGTGATATTTCGTAAATGGATCTTCCCTTGGAGATGCTTGTTTTTACTAAAAATGAATTTGACTAGTTTATGTCAGTACTTTTCATTATTAAATTCCATAAATTGTTCACAGCTCGTTATTTATATTTTTTAATCATATTACAAAGTGGTGGAAGTTTTCTACTTCCTCCTTGTTGCATATTGCATATTTCCTCCTTTCTTCCTTTAGTTAATAGCTTTATTTCATCTTAATAATTCTCCTCTGACTAACAATTTTTGACATAAGAAATAACTTATTTTAATCATTTGTGTAACGCAATGAACCCAAATCTATTTCTACCTCCTTGTATATAAACACTAGAATTTACGTCAAACTTGCCAATGTTTAATACGTTAGTAAGTAAAGTAAAAAATTTAAGTAATCCCTATCATACAGGAGTACGTAACGTTCAAGTACCGAGGTGTTGCATATGAAGGGTCAAACACTTTTCCATATAATTCTCATGAAAATTCCATGGGTTTTGTGTTTCGAACCCAGGACCGCTAGCGTGGCGAATAAGAATCAGGCCCTAACCACTCGGCCACCGCAGTCCTCTGATGGTGCTAATATCTCACAAAAGGGCCTTGATGTTTAATTACCCGTTGGATGACTCGGACGATGGGTCAAAACACTAGACAATACTTTTTTCCATATTATTCTAATAGTAAAAAATGGTCATTCTGGCCTCCTCTATCTCCGCCACCCCACTCCATGGGATCGGACGGTCACTTCTGTTCCACCCAGAGGAGCCATCCCCATTAAATTTGGAACTACGGTGATAATGGGTGGTACAGTGTGGCCAAGGCGGGGGGTGCAATCTGAAAGGGCGAGGCTCGTGTCCCCGGTCATTTCCTTTCTCAATCCAGGTCATTCGGCATATTTCTTTGAGACCTCTCCCAACCCTTGGATGCAAGTGGGGTATCCAGGCACAACATAATGGTGTAGCCTTGGGAGGGTGGCAACCTCTCTAAAGCACGAGCTGGATTCGTGTCGTCCTCCGGATTGTCAGCGGACGGCGCGTGCTGCATCAGAGGCGCACGAGGGTTAGGGTACCAGATCCTATCTTCATAGACGGGGGAGGGTGCATAACCATCTGAACTACGGGATAGAAGAAAATGTTCCAAGTCCAAACCCTGATACATGGGAGTGGGACTCGTAGTGGCTTAGTCGCGATGCTCCTGGCGAGAACTTAGTGTGAACCTGTTGCTCGGGGGGTACCGTAGCGGTTTCCTTCCGAGGGCAGTGTTCCTCTAGGGGGTGGCTAGACATTCCACTTTAAACAAAACCGCGGCCGGAGCGGATCCGGAAGTTCTTACATTGGAGGAGCCCCAATACTCTGGGAGATAGAGCGGCCAAAAGGCTAGGTACGGACATTAAAGATCCTCATGTCCTTTTAAAGGTTCAGAGTAAATACGAGTCACTTCTGGTGTGTGTCATTTCTTGGACCGCCTCCCCTCTCTAACAGCTTCATGGGGTCTGATGGCAAATATACCTCATTGAATCACCACGTCACAAGGGTGGGGTAGTTGTCGACGGTCCCAGAAATGACCATTTTATACTACTTATTCTTAATCTATCGGTAATTTAATGTTTCAGGTGACGAATCAGGTCCCGACGCCGTGCCGTGCTTGCGCCAAAAACGACAAACCCGAGAGGTTCCATTCACACCCGAAAGGAGGCCCTAGGTCGAAAACTTTGCCGAGGGAGAGGAATCAAGCGATCAGGAACGCCGTTTCAAAGCCGGTCGCGTTAAAGTACAAAAGCGGAAAAGCGCGAGAGCCGCTCAAAGCGCAAGAACAGCCCGGGGCGAAAATCGTCCCCTCGCCTCGTCACAAACCAGCGCAGACTTTAGCCACACAGCTCATTGTTCCTCCTGCCGTGACCATCGAAGAACCCGCTGCCAAACAGGGACGACCTTCGCCCAAAAAGTCCGTCAAAACTTCCATCAAGGTCTTAGATGGAAAAGTTGCTGGTAAACTTGGAGGGCAAAAGGTAATTTTAAATGTTTTATCCAACTATGTATGCAATGGTGTTTTACAAAATATTGTTTCCTAAATTGTGAAATTTCTTTGTACGGTCTGATTTTGGTTAGCTTATCTTCGCTGAGTTGATCTGTCAGACGTGTTTCGGCATTTCGTCATCTTCAGTGTTGGGTCCTGAGACCAAGTTCAAGCTATCTAATCTGTACCAAATGATTGGTGGTTGCCCATGCCCGTGACGGTTCTTGGTGAACCTCTTTGTCGTGTTCTTGTTGGAAAGATATTTCGAAGTGATTACGTCTCGGCAAAACGCAGGCAGTTCTGTTTCTTCAGGGCAAGTTTGGACGGTAACGAAAGAACAGATGAAGCGGCTAATACCACGACGCTATGACACTGTAGACGCCATAAAATCCATGTTTAACTATGGCGGACGCCGTTCGTATTTTTGAGTCAAAACTCGCCTAGATGACCAGTGCAGAGCAAGTTCGATGTGTTCCATATAAATGAAAAGTGTCTTTCACGGCTATATGTAGAGAGCGAATATGGAAGTGTGAATTCTACTTGATACCTCATTATAAATGTTATTTTTGCGTTGGATCTTGATATTGAGTCTATTTATTTGCGCTAATGTGTACTGTATTTGACCCTTCATGTATATAATTTAAAAATGCATTTATGAATGGGTGATAGTTAGAGTTCAAATGAGAAGGTTAAAAACTGGATGTGATGACCTGAAACCTTGCTATCGATAGTTTTAGATAGCTTCGATCAAATTTGGACGCTAACGAAAGAGCAGATGAATTGGCTAATACCAGGTCGTCTTAACCTCCTGCCATCTCAAGCTAAATCGCCATAAAAACCAGGTTTAACGAGTGCAGAAATAGTTTCTCGATTTGTTTCATATAAATGAAAGCTGACATTCCTTGGTTCTGTATAGAGAGCGAGTAGGGATGCCACTATCTTGTCCACAACAGCTAGTCTTTATCCACTGCTCTGATTTTTGGAAGGATCCTGAGTGTTTTATTTGATACTGTGGTATTGTATAATGTTATTTTTATTACAATTAATTAAGGTTTTTAGTTGAGATAAAAAAAGTCAATGGCACGAGCGGGATTCGAACCCACGATCTTCAACTAGATACGCCGCTGCTCTACCACTTGAGCTATCGTGACCTCGATCCACTCGGACACTAACTTCCCATCTCAACCCCCCTTTTGAATTTTCCCTCCTTGTAATATATTAATTGGTCAAGCGAACCACGAAATTAGTGAATTTAATGATTTAAAATGAAGTATACTTCACTAACGCTCTCCGTGGCCATTTCATTTGTCTTTGAGAATCTAATCTAAGAATCTAGAAAAAGGAGGGAAAATTCAAAAGGTGGGGTTGAGAGGGGAAATTGGTGTCCGAGTGGATCGAAGTCACGACAGCTCAAGTGTTAGAGCAGCCGCGTATCTAGCTGAAGATCGTGCGTTCGAATCCCGCCGCTCGTGACACTGCCTTTTTTATCTCAACTAAAAACCTTAATTAATTGTAATATATTAATTGGTCAAGCGGACCACGAAACTATTGAATTTAGTTATTTTTATTATGCATTTTGATACTGAGTGTACTTACTAGCGTTAATGACGTGGATTTCTTCCTAGCGGAGAAAATCTGCAGGAACTATTGAAAAAAATTAACCACTTCTAACGAGCAATGGATAAGCATGGACTAAGTTGTTATTGAATATATAATATTATCGTCTATAAAACAACGATTTAATAATCAAATGTATTGTAAAAGAAAACCTGATGGTAGTGGTAATAATCATGGAAAAGTTTAACAGTTAAACAAGTTGCTTTCATTAGACCATCCTTTCTTCCCACTATGTTTTTACCTGTTATGGATTAATTACTGACCATATCAGAAAAATCGATGGATAAACATTTTAACAAAAGCTAGACCGTCGATCAAATTTTTGTTTTTACAGTGTAAATAATCTGAAAAATAGCGGGTTGTATATAAAAGCCGAACAATCCATCAATGTATACTAAATTTTTAACAATTTTTTTAGCTGTATCCATTTATTTACTAATTAGATTAAAATTACAACTTCTTTTGCACAGAATGAAACTGGTCTCATGAGATTTCGAGCTTTAGAAGTGGTTCAAATAACTTTTTGAAAATTTCGAATCAGGTGCCAAAACAAAATTCCGAATTCTTCACAGTCTAACAATTCGATACTGGAAAGGAATCCGCCTGAATTTATGGCTGAAATCGAGCGGAAATTCGAGCTTGACCATAAAATCGATTCTTCCAAGGTTTTTCCCCTTTCGGAATACTTTTATTTAAACAGTTCATCGTGCGTTTTATATTAAACTAAAACCATTTCTGTACCAAATGAAACTGACTCCGTGATATTCTGAGCTCAAGAAGTGGTTCAACTAATTTTTTGAAAATTTCGAATCAAGGGTTATCATTTATTTTGCCTTAACTTACAAGTCGTCATTTTTTAAGACTCTGTCTTATATATCATTATATTCTGTGTCAAAAGGATATTCCAAATTCTTCAAAATCTAACAACTTGCTGCTGGGAAGAAATCCGCCTGAATTTATGGCTGAAATCGAGCGGAAATTCGAGCTTGTCCATAAAATCGATTCTTCCAAGGTTTTTCCCCTTTCGGTATACTTTTCTTTAAACAGTTCATCATACGTTTTACATTAAACTAAAACCTTTTCTATACAAAATGACACTGGTCCCGTACTATTCAGAGCTTTAAGAGTGGTTCAAATAACTTTTTGAAAATTTCGAACCAATTGCCCTGTGAACTTACGATTCACCATTTACACAGTTTTGAAATCTTTCGATTTTTGCATAATATTTTATGTCAAAACCTTCCAAATCGAAACATCGTCAGACAACATGGAAGAGGAATCGCCCTGTCTTCATGGCGTAAATTGAGCAGAAATTCGAAAAATTCCAGTTCGATCATTTCGGTGCTTTTTTTCTCCAAAGAGCTCGCTTTTTCAAGACTCTCTGTTTTTCTGGTACATTCTTCAAAAATTGCCTTCCCATCCTGAAGTTCGTGATCAATTTCCTTCTGCAAGAAGAGGTCGGTATTCTTAATGACATGAAATGTCTCCTTAATGACTTTGTGTAACTGGAAAAGTCAAATATCTCGAATACAATTTACAATCAGACTATGGACAATAGGGACTGTTTAGTCTCATTTTACTTGTAGAATAGTATTCTCTTCACGGGATAATCTGTATATAAAAATATCAAATTAGAGAGAACATGCTTTAGTTCTATTGTCTAAGTTTTTGTCTCAGATAATTTTCTTAATCAAACATATTATATATTCCTTGAAAACCGTTACCTTCGTCTTAGGTTTACGTCTATTTATTTAATATTTATTGTGCTTGTTATTATTGCGAAAACACTCACACAACATATATGTAGCAAAATATAGTAAAAGGGAAAACCTACTGGCTAAAGATTTCGGAGATGTCATTGAAAAGACAAGGGAAAGGATGTTAGATAGATAGATAGATATAATATTTCAGGGTATGGTATACTGCGCCCTTTAAGAGCTATTTTATCCCCTGTGCTCTGCCTAAAGCACATCGGTGAGTCCTATTTCATCAAGAAACTTGATTAATAGGCCCGGTTTCAGTGGTTGTAGTTCTTCTATGGTCACATTGTACATCCCAAAACACTTCCTCCTGCGGGCTAGTGTAGCTCCGCAGTTTGTTAGTAAGTGTGTTGGTGTCTCTTCTGCTTCTTTGCAGAATCTACATGTGCCATCTTGGATTATTCCAATTTTCTTTAGATGTCCATTTAATCTACAGTGTCCTGTCAGGAATCCTGTTAGGATTCGCAGTCTGTTCCTGCTTCCTTTGACACATTCTGTGATTTCTTTCTTGCCAAAGTTGGTTAGAAGATTCTTGGATTGTATATGTCCAATAAGTGAATTCCAAAGTTCGCTCATTTTCTTTTTATCCTTCTGTGTGAGGTATTCGTTGATAGTGTGTGTTCCTATTCCACAGAAGGGTTCAGGTCCTATTAGCGGTGTGGCAGCCCCTTTTCTTGCCAGGGTGTCCGCTTTCACATTGCCTTCTACTCCCATGTGTCCTGGGACCCAGCAGAGGCTGACTTTATTCTGCAAACCCAATACATTTAATTTGATTTTGCAGTTCAGCACCATCCTTGAACTAATGGTATTTGAGCTTAGTGTTTTGATGGCTGCTTGACTATATGACATGATAGCTATATTCTTGTTTTTGTATCCTTAGGGAAAGGATGTTAAAAAATAAGAAAATTTTTTTAAAAGAGCTGGATGTTTTGATCTTCTCTTTTCGAAAAACTTACCTGATGTTAAACCCGAAGAGGCGGAAAATCGTTCGTAGTTCAGTTTTACCTTTTTCGTCTATAATCCGTTTTTCATGAGATTTCTGCGCTAAAAGTTGTAAACGCTGTGATTCTCTCGAATAGCCCCTGCGAAAAATAATCTTGATAAACATGCCAGGGGAAACTCTATCGATTTGAATTCCATGTCCATTAATTCAATAGTTTTCATTTAATCGGTCAAAATTGCCGTGCTTTTGAGTGGTTCTCATGTTTCGGCGAGATTTCGTTCCTTTTTTTTTTAAATAAAATTCTAAGGCCGATAATCTCTTCACATCCCACGAATCTTCGTGTTGAATTAATTTATCCAAATTTCAGAGTACACAGAGGTTATGTGTTACAACCATTAGCTTTGAACACGCTTTAAGTTTACCGGATCGATCTTTCTGGAGGCGTTTTGAACGCTGAAAAGGCGGAAGAGGACAGGCCCAGTCGGAAACTGGAACGGCTCTGTGTAATCAACGTTGCATGACATAAACGTCGTCCTTCGGCCTGACGGAATTGCTACTAAATCGATCATATCAGAAAAAACGATCTCATTGCCACGGCCAAGCCTACAATTAAAGCGACAAAATCGAAACTTTTCGAAAAATCGTTTATATTCTTTGTGGGCAAACAATCCA